TCAGAAGGTGATGAAACCCTGTGTCTTCTCACACCCTCAACTACTAAAAGATATGTACAGTTAAGGCCAGCTCTATAGCTGGTATACAGCATCAAGTTTGGATTATGGCCAGCTGTAGATCTTATCTAGTCACAGATCCAGTCCCTGCTCTCATCCAGAAGTAGTAATGCTATTGAAAGATAGTGTAGCTGTGGTGTGAAGTGATTAATCGTGAACATCCATGAAAGATGCCCTGCAGCCTTACAGGGTGTATTCAAGGAGAAGGGCAGATTCCCTGTGACATTTGGGAGCTGAGCAGAGATGACTTCAGATCAAAAATAAATGATCGTTTAACTATTTTATTGGTGACCAAAGGATTGCTGTTGTGAGGTGAAACATTAACAGGGTGACAGCGAGCCAGGATTGCTCAACAGGGTTCGTCTTCAGGCACAACAGAGCTGCGGTTGTGCAGCGTGCAGGAAGCAGCAGCCATGGCAGAGGAGGATGGCATGCTGCAGGCTGCGAAGGAAGCCCAAGCTGGTGAGAGAATTTTTAAAAGATTTCTTCTTGCTAATCATAAAAGAAACCGAAGGCAAAAAGGCACCAGGAGAGACGAGAAGTTTCTCTAATTGTTACAGGTTGACTAGGGACCAGATGACAGGCTCTTAAATACAGATTAGGTACTTGATATTGTTAGTGGTATTAATCTAAATACCTTTACAATTTTGAGGGATGGTGAATAGAACAGAGATGCAGGTCTGGAGACTTCTGGCATATTTTCCTGGTTGTTCAAGTGATTTGATATAACATTTTCTTAAATTACTTTGAAGTATGAGAGAAGTTTGCAGGCAATAGAAACCAGTCTTGATCTAAATCAGTTAAGCCATGCTGTTTCCTGTACTCAAAGAATTGGAGAAAATAAACCAGAAGAGACCTGGAGAAGTTATCTTGTCCATCCAGGGCCAGGTCATTAAGCCCAAAATGTTGCTGATACACATTCATTTAGCTGCTTATAACCTTATCTTGGAAAGAGGAGAGAAATACAGATACAGTAAAATGGCTATAAAAGTATGGCCAGCATATATGAATTCAGAATAAGACTCATTATTAAGAGACCAGTGTGGCAGAGCTGAAAACCAAGAAGGGATTGTACCACAAGATGAATGCAGATAAAAATGAAGAGATCAGTTGAGTATAAACAGATTAATGTGCACAGTACTGCAGCAGGAAGCAGTAAGAATGTGAGGATTGTAAATGCAAAAGGAAAATGCAGATTGTCTTCCTGTGGATTTGGGAACCAGAAAAAAATAAATTATGAACTAAAAGTCATAGAAAAATCTATTAATGGGAACTTCTGGCTATGCAAGGCATCTGGTAGCTGAATATTACATTTAAGCATGAATCATCCTGCAGATTCCCCAATTACATAAAGACTAACTCAGAGTAGAGGAATTTTACAGAAAGCAGTCCTTGCTTTTGTGCTTGCCAGTTGAAGTTGTTTAGCACATGATTTTCATAGAAATTCGGGAGGGCTCCTCATCCATCTGCCTGCTCTGGGACAAGACCTGATATTTAGCCAGTCCCTAATACATTCTTATATAACAGATATCAGGGATTGCCTGAACCCCACAGCCCCAGCCATGCTGTCTCTGTTCCAGCGCTCACATGTCCTTGCAGAAACGGATTTGGGCCAAAAGCATCCCCGAACCTCTTTTACTGAAAATAAAGTCAGTTATTTTTCTTATCCTTGATGAAAATGGAGACTAGTTGGTCTCTGTGGCTGCTTTTCCAGTCAGTAGGTCGGGGTAGCATTTGGTAGTCTACTTCCCTGAATTTCATCTTTTTAATTCCTGAGCTGCAAAGTGGTTTCTCCCAGTTAGTAACTTAATTTTGAATTCATACTCTATTCTCCCTCAGGCTTCTACATCCTGGTTTCGGACACAGACATGAGCAGCATGCTGGCTGTGCTCATGGAAAAGATGAGGATCTGCGTGTTTCATGCCATCCTAATCTGGTGGAAAATCATTGATATCTACTTGGAGAGGAATTTCCCAGTTGCCCACTGTGTGGGTATTTCATCTGGACCCTCTTTTCCTTGTGAGACATTAGAGACACTAGAGTTAGGATATATCACATCCATAGCTGCTCTAGTTGTTATGCCACTTACCCTGTTGTCAAAGAATAAAACAGTGGTTTGAGAGCACTTTTTTCCAATCCAAAATGGCCAGTTTGTAATCCTTATTCTCCTTTCAGTGTTTAGAAGGGATTAGTTGATGAACTATCTCTCTGACTATGGAGGGACATGCCTGGGTTGTCCTATCCTGCCTTTTTAAAGGCAGTGGTGATGCTTGTCCTGCTTCTGCCCTTCACAAGGGAAGTGGCTCAATATTACATTCAGCAGTTGGAGGTGAACTTCATCAGGCTCTAATGATTTGAGCACATTTGAGGTATCCAAATATTCTTTAAGCAGTTTTTGTCTCATTTCACTTGTATTCCTACTGGTTCATTTTAATGGTGTTATGAATCTTGTTGCAATTTAGTTTTTTAGTGAAGACAAACAAAAAGGACACAATTTTTCTGGCTTCTCTGGATGAGCTTTTGTTTGCTCGTTTTCTAGTTTAAATAACAGACTTTCATTTTCCTTCCTCTTTCTCCAATATTGACAGCATTTCTAACACCTTTTCTTATTGCCTTTTGTGTCCCCCTGCTCGCTGTAATTCATTTTGTGCCTTAGCTTTGCAGCCTCTATCGCTCCATGCTTGATCTGTTTGTTTATACTTGTCTTCAGAAATGCCACCTTATTTCCATTTGTGGTACAATTCCTTCCTGATTTTCAGGCCAGCTGCACAGGTCTCCTTCTATTGAGTCTTATTCTGAATTCATTTGTATCTGAGGCGCTTGCAAATTTATTCTCCTTAACTTGCTCTTACTGTTTGCCATGAGTTACCATTTATTACCAGACATTTGAATTCCTTTTCTCACTTTCTGTCTGAGAAGACCTTCTGGCAGCTAATGGCCTAAACAGCTCTGCAGTATATTTGACAAGTGGTATGTTAATCCCACTGACTGGTATGGTTTTTCATGCTAGTATTAAAAAAAAATAATAATCATTTCGCTTATGTGACGCATGGGGCTGTATACACACAGAGGAAATATAGCTGCAGGATGCTGAAAGTATTAAGGCATTACATTGCAGCAGTGTGGGAGCCCTGCACCATGGTTGGTGAAACCTTTTCTGTCTTCCTTTTGTATTACTCTTGTAATAACTTTGCTACTGTGTTTGCTCTGCTCACCTGCTCATGGCAGAATACAGCAGGTTTCTACCAGGAGTTGTCCAGAGATACTTGGGGCAGTAAGAGGCACCACCAGAAGGCTCAGAAATATTCCGGCTGTCTCTAGCAAAAGGTCAGACTTGCGGAACACAGGAGTATGTGCTAACGTGGAGTGCAGGAGATAGGATCAACATGCACAAGTCCTGTTCCTTGCACTGCCCCCAGTGCTGGATATGTTTCTGAGTCACTCTTGCCCATGAAATGGGCTTAACAAGCTCTAGCTCCCTGGAGGCTGTTTGTGACACCTGAGAAGTGACCCAGGTGAAAAGCAAGTTTGCACAGGTGTGCGAATCACTGGGAGGGTTGAAGTTAAGGAGCTGGTCTGTGGCAGTATGGGGGAGGTACCAAGCTGTTGCTTTGCTATGTCTGTAGAAGAAAAAGAGAATAAGAAATGAATAGACCTCCCTGGCCTCCTCTGAAGTTCAGGGTTCATGTTTATCTGCCCAGTTAGCAGGAATGAAACAGGATCCCTGGGGATCTTCAGAGCAAGCAATTCCAGAGCACGTGAGGGAATGTGGAGAGTAATTAAGCTTCCTCTGTGCACTCTGTTGCATCTGAGTCCTTTATCGAAGTGTTTTCCATGTCTTGTTAGCAATAACTGAAGCCAGATTAAGGATCTGTAATGTGAGCAAAGGCCCCTTTCCTGATTCATCAACTGCAAACCTGGTTCCTGTAACACCCAAGCACTAGCAGCAATTTGGTGCTGGAGTGAGGGATGAGTTTATGGAGACTCCTTGTGCCAGCTGCAGATTCTGGCTGTGCTCTGTACTTTTGCTGATAAGAGAAGGGAGGAGTATTGGGGAAGGTTCTTCGAACATTTGCCTTTTAAAGAAGCCAGATGTAAGGGAAAGAAAAATCTCCTGCACTGTGCCAAGAATACTGCGGATCCACAGCCACTGAGGGTGGCTTACGGGAAGTTTGTGAATTTTGCTCTGTAATTGTGACTGGCACTGGGAGAATAGTGATGAAGAGGTCCTCTGTCCCTGTGGGCATGGAAGGAGGGACAACAGGGTACCTTCAGGGAGCTGGGCCCATGCAGCTGCAGGGGGAATCCAGGGGCTCCCAGCGCAGCGTAGGATGCATTTGTCACATAAGGAGCCCTGAGGTGGCCTTTTGGATAATAGGAAGTAGAGACGGGGTTTAGGGCTGCTTCTGGGTGCTGTGTTCTCCAGATTATACTGTCCCGCAGCAAAAGGCAAGGTAACTCCAGGGAATTGGTGCGGAAATGAACTCTGGGTCACTTCACTCCCGGGATAGCGAAGAAATGATTTAACACAGTGCAGGCAACCGTGACATCTGGTGTCTGAGGGTTTGGCATGATGAGCATTTTAGTAGCTATGACTTGGGATGAATGCGTGGCTTTTCAGTGGAATGAGATCCCTGCAGAATAAACCTGTCATTACTGCATCGGGAGGGAGATGCACGCCCTACTCCTAAATCTGCAGGCTGTATGGTTATCTGGGTCCTGGGATTTTATTCAGCTCACATCTGTTCAGCATACAGTGCTGTGCTGGTGCACGTACAATAGCTGGGGGCATGCCAAGCAAATAGGAGGTCTGTGTCACGAAGTGCTGACAGCCCCAACCTGTGAATGATATAGGCTGCGTTCCCTGACTCTTCTTGAACTCTGGAGTTGTCTTTCCTGGTAGGATCTCTCTCCCCTTTCTGCTCTGGCTGCACAAATGTGCTCAATTAGGGTTAACTCAAACTGAATCAAACTTCATGCCCAAGGTTGGAAGTCTTCCCAGTCAACTCACCACAGCCACATAGCATGGTGGGAGACAAGGCGAGAGGGGCGATGAACGCTTTTCAGAGAAACGAATCCAAGGAAACTTTGTTCACTTTTATTTCTGCAGGAGATGATCCCCCCAAAGGAGATTTCCCTGTTCAGAAAAAATCCCCGGTGAGTGTTACAGCTGGTTTCCTTTTCTTTGCTTTCTGCTTAGCTTGCTCTAAACATTGCAAGATCTCTCTGTTCTTTCCTCTGTTGTGCTCTGGCTAGAGACAAACACCCTTTCTTGCAGAGGGTTGAAATAAGCATTAACAACTCAAGGCAAAAATCCCTCCACTAACCTGATTAAGTTGAAAAAGCACAGCTTAAAGGGAAAAAAATGAACTGTCTGAATGCTTGAGAAAAAGGGTAAGGATTTTGATTGCTGCCTTTTTCCCCGAACACTACTTTCCTTGTGGGAAAGGACTTACTTCTCTGGAGGGGGATGTCGTGTGTGGGAGGGAGGGAGCTGACCTGTGCATTTGCTTAGTTTGATGAAAGCCACCAGAAAAGGGTCCCCAGATGCTGCAAAGCAGAAGGAAGGACAGGAACTGAGGACAGGACACTGATGTGTGTTAAAGACCCCAACTGTAGTGCCAGAGCCTCAGGTTTACATCTTTGGCTCTGATTTGAAGCCAGATTCACGTGAATATTTTGTTGCCTTTCAGCTTTGATGTTTGTTCAGGTTTTCAGGCTAATTGTGGTTGAGTGTTTGACCCCTAAAAACCTGTACGCTGTGTTGACTTCAGGAAGAACAGGGCTTGTACTGCACCTGCTTTGACTTGCAAGACAATATGGTAATACTTGCTCTTGGTGTTCACAGTCTTGTCATTAGCAAGCCAACTATTTGACTCACAGTTTTAAGTACTGTGCAGACATTAACTATTGGATATCCAGGGCTCCTGGGAAATATTAATCTCTGTCCCATTTTGCAGCTAGTCAGCAAGAAGGAGAGGTGAAAAGGAATGTCTCCTGTAGCTGGCACTTTAAATGACCTTTCTTTTTTCCAAAGACGCAGAATATCAACTTCCACCATATCTTTAAGAGCGCCATAATCCCGCAGATCCCAGGCTTACAGTGGTAGCTAAGCACAGCAGACTATCTGTGCACTCATGAATCCAGGCTTAGCCTCTTTGCTTTTGCTGGGGCTCTCTGCTGAGCAAGGTCCTCCTCCGCGAAAGCGAGCAAACTGTATCTGGCTCTCCGCATGGAAGAAAGCTGCCCACTTTTGGATGTCCAGGCAGGCCCCAGGCAGGTCAGTGATACAGCAGAGAGAATACATGAGGGTTTCTGCATGTGCTGATGCCATCTCATGACATACAAGCGAGATGGCAGCACCACTGCTTGTAGGTCATTGCTCTGTGTTTATAAGCACTTACTCAGGGTCCTGGCTCAGGCACTTGGGGAGGTTTAGCTTGCACGTCTCTGCCTCCTGCTCTCCTTTCCCTGCTCTCCCCTGCTCATCTGTACGAGGTGCCCATCCCAGAGCAGGAGTAGCTGAAATGGGTCACTGCCAGGTTTTCTGGCACTGCAGGTTGCGGCGTGGCATGTGATACCTTAAACCTCTGCAGCTAAATCCAGCAGGGCTTGTGCATCGGGGGTGGAGGGGTGAGTGCAGGCAGCAGGGATCCCGACATCTGGCCATCTGGGCTTGAACAGCCACGCTCTGCATCCCCATTAAATGCTGTTAAATCTCACGAGTACTGATAGCGAAGTCTGTGAAAGAGAGGAGGAAAAACATCCCTGTTATACAATTTTACTTCCAAGTTCAGAAAATGCTTTTCAAGCACCCACAGGAAACATAATTTACCTCTTACGGCTTTTCTTCTTTATTACGAAAAACTTATTGGAGAAAGGTATTCTGTGTGTGCATGTGTCTGACTGTTTGTGCATTTACAGCTTATGTGTGCCAGCATTTTTAGGCTAGTCTAAAAGCAGGAGGCCCCAGCACAGTTTCCAAGGGATCCCACTCTGTCTTACAAGCCATATGCTGAGCATGATGGTTTCAGAGTAAATAATAAATAAAATGGATAATTACATATTTACTCTAGTAAAGCAAAGAGACCAAGTGTTTCTTAATAAAAAGGCCACCCATAAATAGCAAGAGAAAAATATATATAAAAAAAAGATAAAAATATTTGTCTTTAGAGATGCTAGGTTAAGTAAGGGAAAGCAGTTTTTTGTGTCTTGTTTTTTTTTTTTTTTCTTGCAGACAGCCAGTCTCTTCTCTTTTGTTGCTCTTGTATAATGTTGAGCAAGACAGCGTCATTAAGCTAGACTCTTCTAAACTTGATGCCATTTCTTTGGGAATCCAAATAAGCTCAGGTCTCTTGGTGGTAAAATAAACCTGAATAAACACATCTATTTTGGTATCTGTATTTGCATTTGGGACTCTGCAACGAAATACAGAAATTCATTATTTCTGACACGAGACACGAGAAATGCATGTGAAGAGTTCATCTCACTTCGCTGTCCCATACCATGTCTATTTAAAACCATAAATATAAATGCAGAAGTTAGTATCACACTCCCTCCCATCCCTCACCAAGTGCGTGGCCAGCTCCTCTCTCCCACTGATTGGCAGAGGCTGGGCAGTGCTGTGAAAACCTGCTTTCCCTGTTGCGAGGCAGTGGAGCTAAGCAGCTTCCAGCTGCTTAGCTCAGATTGCAGTGGGGTGGCAAGAGGAATGGAGGCCCATGCAAGGTCATGCCAAGACCTTATCTGTTTAAATGCCTTGTATTTCACTTGGAAACTGCTGATTTTAGATGGAGTAAAGTCAGATTCGGTGAAAGAGTGGCCACGCTCAGACAGGTTTGATAGTCCCATCACAGTTCTGTTTAGTTTTGATTAATAAATTGAATTTATCTGTAGCTATGCCAGGGTTCTTGGAATAGGAAATGGATGCCATGTCTGAGGGTGTGCAAGACAAAGGGCTGGTGCTCTGCCTCAGTGAATGCAGTGGCACAGTTTAGTGCAAGTGAGGTGCAGAGATTGAGGGCAGTTGTCACATGGGAGGGAGCAGCTCCCTGAGGTCTACCAACTGCTGAGGCAAGGTTTGGTACTATGAAAGGGAGCTGTTTTGGAGCAGGGTAGTAGCTTTATGTGAGAAAATGCATCTGAAGATGTTTTAGTATCTCAGTGGGTTTTCGCATTGCAGTGGAGAGGTGGTAGGACATTTCCAGTGGAGTTCCTGGAGCTGTTAGCATGGGTGACCTGCTGACAGTTCACAAATCCCTATGGCATCCAGGCTGATTCACTGGGGAGCCTTTAACCAAAGCAGGGTAGGTGTGGGGTCCCCTCCCTCCTTTGAATCCAACGCACAGGCCAGTCAAGCAGCAGTGGGTGCTTGGATTTTGGACTGGACTCCTCTCCACTGCTCAGGCACTGGGGTGAAGGCTTTCACAGAGCTGATACGTTCTCATTTGTCTCCTGCAGAAACTCTGTGGCTCCAACTACCCCCTAAGCATTGCCTTCATCGTGGTGAATGAGTTCTGTGAGCGCTTCTCCTACTATGGCATGAGAGGTATGTGGCTTGTGTCTGAGAAGCAACTTTCCCATCCTTGGGTTTCTATACACGCTGGGCTGGTGTTCTGGGGCTGTGCGGTATGTGGTCTCAGTTGTCCTTCAAAATAAATTGGTGTTTTGGGATGCAGGTATGAGCAGTGTGCCCTAACACTGATGCTACACCTTCTCTGAGCAGAAGCTGGGACTAGAGAGCTTCAAATGTATCTTCTAGTCTAAATTTTTATATGATTTTCTGTACCAGACCTGGTTTTCCACTGTGTGACATCTTTCCTAGTTGTGTGCAATCAGTATATTTGGGAATTGAATCGTATAGGCACCTAATTTGCAAATAGAAAATGTGCATAAACAAAACTACAGGTTACGGTAAGATAAGCTAGAAAATATGTTTTCTAGCTAAACGTAAATGTGTATAAGCAAAGAATGCATGATACTCATATATCTCATTTTAGGTTTTCCTGTCTCAGAGATTATGAGGAACAGGTCTGAAAGCACAGATCTTTCTACCACAGTGCTCATTGCTGCTAGACAAATCAGTGGTTTTCTTGCCACTGTGATCCTGCTTACCTGCAGAGACACACATTGATTATGTGATGTGATTTGCTTGTTTCCTTTTAGCTGTCCTGACACTATATTTCTTAAGCTTCTTGCACTGGGATGAGAATCTCTCCACCGCTGTGTACCATGCCTTTTCTGCACTGTGTTATTTCACACCTGTCATTGGAGCCATCATGGCAGACTCCTGGCTGGGGAAATACAAGTAAGTGAAGACATCTTTCTAATTCACACAGCATACATCTACACCATGCAGTCTGTGCTCCCAGTTTTGAGCTAGCTCAGAGTGCTGGAAACGCACACTTGTGAAGGTCAGCTCCTCTCTGTTAACTGATGAATAGCTGAGCTGTTTGCTTATGCTGTTCTCTGTTCCTCTTTCACCCAAAGGCCAATATGCAACAAAGTTGGAACAAACTAAATGTCACAAGCACGCTTTTCCTCCACTTCCTTGCCAACCCACCTTGAGGAAGCTGAGGGTGATTAACTGGTAATTAAATGGGTAAAGCACACCCATTTTTATGCCAGAGAAACCTGGGTTCACTCAAATCCTCTCCCTCAGCCCAGAGCCACGTAAAATCTCCCTGAGTAAGTTAGACAGTCTTCCCTTCCACTAGTAAGATGTGGGGCCATTATCTGTCCCAGAGTGGTGGTGAACAGCTGGATATAGGACTTTCTTTGCTTGGCACTGTTTGTTTGCTGTCTGAGGAGTCTTGGCTGTCAGAGTGATGAAGTGCAGCTGAACCCTTCTCTCTAGGACTAAGCATATCTGGCAGAAGAATTTTAAGAGGGAAAAAAGAGCTGCCATAAGAATTTTACACTGGATTCATAAGGAGGTATCCATGTTCTTTCTTTGTGCTTAATTTTAGTCATTCTCTCGTCCCTTTGAATGAAAAAAAAAATAACAGCAGGTATTCATTAACTTCATTATTTAAGGTCACCTAGCAATGTTCATTGGTATTTGAGGATATCTATCTTGCAGCATGATGTTGTGAGAAGGTAAATCTGTCTGTGGACTTCTGTCCGTTAGGCAGGGGAGACTTTCTCTGGGGTAATCCCTGTGATTTAATGGAAGGTGGCTTTTGCTGTAGTAGCTGGACCTCAGCCAGTACCAAAACAGGATAACAGATTAGGGAGGCTTTTAGGAATGATCTGATGTGGCTCTAAATTAGCTGTTGTAACCAGGGTTAGAATGTATCGAAGACCACTCCCCTACTCCAAGCTCATAGGGATTCTTCTAGTGCTTCTGTCCTAACAAGCCCTTCCGTTCCCCCTCTGTGTATCTAGTCTGCATCTAAATACATAGATATCTCTTAATCCTGAAGGTGGTGAAGAAGTAGAATATACTCAAGAGCCTGATCCTCCTCCTAGTCAGAATTCTTTTTCCTCCCTCACCAAGACATGAGAGGCAGATAGATGAGTTCAGTCCTTCAGAGGTACTTGGATTCTAAACCAGACTTGTAATGGGGAAACCACACTCCTAATTTGGATGTGTTAGTCAGGTGGGTTGAATGTAGGCAACAGTCCCTATAGATGCTTTACAGTCAAGGGATTCACTTAGGCACATGCTATAAAATGCCAGTTATTAGTAATCTGGAAACTGAGTTGGACCTGAACAGTCCTCTCCTATTTGCAGCCTTCCATGCATGACAAGACATTTTTATTTTATTCCACTCAGCATCCTCTGCAAAGAAAGCAGGGGCTATTCCTCTTTATTCTGAACCCATTTGCCTATCTCTTTCTTCTAGTGCACTCAGTGTTGACACAAAAGAGTTACAGCTGCCTGCTATACCAGTGGTATGAACAAACCAGTTCCTTGTGTGTCTGTCAAGTAAACCTGCCGTGTCAGGTAGCACAGGCACACTCTGTTTTCAGATTGTATGTCACCATGCATCCTCAGTCACTGCTGTTTGCTTTCCTCACAGGACAATCATCTACCTCTCCATTGTGTATGTGGTTGGCCACCTGATAAAGTCAGTCGGTGCAATTCCATCCCTAGGCAACCAGGCGGTTCATGTGTAAGTAGCTGTTGAAGCCACAGTGCTGTAGTAGGTTGTGATGGTAGTTGGTTTACCCAGGACTGTCATTTGTTTCACCTCCATCAGGCCAGCAGTTTGGGGGCTGTGCATGGGTTGCTTTTATCAGGGAAGGGTTTGGGATATCTGAGTAAGGACAGAAGGGTGGATCTCGAGTGAATGCACCAGAAGGAGTTGGAAACCACCACCGACACTCTAAGTCCTTTGAGATAGGGACCTCTGACCACCCCTCTTTGCTATACCATGCTACTAGCTTTTCCATCTAGCTGCCTGCACCAGGCTCGTTCCTTCTTAATTTCCTCATCAGCATAGCTGGCCAGCTCAGCAAGGTTCCCCTGTGTGCATGGGAACACAAAACCAAAGATAAATTTTCTGATGTGACAGAGGTAGGGTCTGTCTCTTCCATAGGGTACAACCCTTCTTTCCCTCTAGATTCTGAACTGATAGGCTTGTCAGAGTAGTTCTCCTGCTCACATCTCTGAAACCACCAAGCTGTTTTTGCCTGGGTTGGTCACAGCTTTAAAAATATGCACATGCAGGCAGGAGCACATCTCATTTACAGAACAGTTTCCTTTTGTCCCAGACCTGGCCAGTCCTGACACTCCTGTTCCCTACAGACCTAATCTGTTGGGCCAACAGTGGTATTTTGAGGATCACTGGGAGGTAGAAGGCACCCAAGAATGAGCCTAATTCAAACAGTTTGTCTGCACTTACCCAGGCTGGAAGGCTACAGGAAAATGCTTCTTTTTTTTTCTTCTTTTTTTTTTTTTTTTTTTTCTTTTTTTCTCCCCTTCTTTTTCTCAATTGATCTCTGCAATCTTTTGTTCTCATATGAGTGAAAAATAATCCCACGGATCTTTGATCTCTAGTATGTCCACTGGGCCTCAGAACAGCAAGAAACTGACAAAAGCAGTTTGGTTAATTGACCAGTACTGAAAGCAGAAATGAGGATAATTAATTTGTTTTTCGCACTTCTCTGACTCATCATCACTACACATGTGCAAAAGACAGTGATACCAGAGGAATCATGGTTGGGTGACACTAAAATGCTCTCATAAGCACTGGAAAGGTTCTGCAATGGTGATATTTTTGTTCTTGCATGAAGGGTCCTGTCTATGGTTGGTCTGTTTTTGATCGCCCTTGGAACGGGAGGTATCAAGCCCTGTGTCTCTGCATTTGGTGGGGACCAGTTTGAAGAGGAACATGTAAGATTTCTTTTCTTTCCTAAAATCTGCAGTGTCTGCTTACTTTATTAGGATGTTTATGTGATCAAATCCTGTTGTACTAGAATAAGGGCTAGTTTGCTAGGAAAAGATGTAGTAAGATGTGAGGTAGGATGGTTTGCATAAAATTTGAGAGAATCTGGGTGCTTCAGGAGAGGAAAATGACAGCAAAACAGGACTGGTATCAAGAAGGATAGGTCATAAATGCAGCAAATCATCTCAATGTTAATTGGACATTAGAGTAGTTGAAAAATCCTATATCATGGAACTGTAGCCATTTCTGAATCAGCTTAACAGGGGTGATTATAATGCACTGCAATGGAATACAGCAAATGAAGGAGAAAATTGTATCTCCAGCCTATGCTTCCTTGGGAATTTTCCCTCAAATCAGTCATAGTCTGTGTCTTAGATGCCGTTCAGAAAGAACTGTAGGAAATTCCAGTCTTTTGAAAGTAGTGCTGGTACCAAACGTACCCAGAATGTTTTCTAGATATTCCAGAATGGAAAGTTTTGAAAAGTTGGGAAAATGTTTCTTTTTAGCTCTGTTTGTGCTCTTTATCCTGTGAATTGTAGTCCAGTTGCTTTATGTCCTCATTTTCTATCGTGAGTTCTTAGCCTCTCACCGGCACTAATCTCAAACTCCTGTTATGCAGCACAGTGGCTCAACCAGGAGTAAGGCAGTATTTAAAGAAGTGAAGCAGGTCAGGAAGTACTAATCCTCAGGTAAAATGCATAATTTTCAAATTGACTTGAAAATAAACACTTAGATTTATGTTGACCTAACACACAAGTAAAAATTTCAGTTTTCTCAGTGACAGTATTCAGATCAGCAACTTCTGATATGTAGAAAAGTCACTGCTACAGGAAAGAAAAAAAGGATCGGGGTCTGTGATGAGAAGGCTTCAATTCAGGGAGGATTATTTAGGACTGCCAGTAGGAAAAATTTTCCAGAAATAGATCTGGAGAAGTATTGGAAAATGTTAGGACATTTGAAAGATGGAAACTCCCATCAATGGAGACACTGAAGAAAGATATTAGGCTAATGGTCAATGGTGTGTCAGGAAAGGCACTGGTAGAGTTGGACAAGGCATGGTCACTTAGCCATGGACAAGGGATAGAAGCCCTGTAGGGCAGTTTGCTGTTTGTCAGTTGCAATGCTCCAACATAGAGTCAGCATTTAATGAATGAAGAATATAGGGTAGAATGTTTATTTTAAAATTTTGGGAAGACTTGTGCTTTTTGCACATGAACTATGTGACGCTGAGGTGGTGAAACTTATGGTTAGTAAGGAGTAACAAAACACAGGATGTTTCATGGTTAATTGTTTGAAGAAGATCCTTCTGCAAGCACGTCCATCCTGTGCTGTCAGTTGGACCCGGTGGTTTAGAAGATGCTGCAGAAGAGGGAGGAGCAAACATCTGGTGGTCACCAGCCTCCCCAGCTGGCACAACTCTGACCTAAAGCAGGCTGGCAGTACGGCATACACACACCGGGAATACGCTGTGTGCACACCAGCGTGTGGGCATCCCAGCTTGCAGTGCCAGTAGTTGTCCCAAAAGAATTCTAACAGGTGTTAGAGCAGCTATTTCAGAAGTGCTACTTCTATGAATATTAATGATTAATAATGTTTATCCAGCATCTTTCAATTACCACCTAATTACAGTATGATAATATGTACCACTTATCTTCTGTGTTTTATAGACTTCAGCTAATGAATCTCAGCACCCCAGTCAGGCACATACATATTATTATCCCAAATTTACAACCACAACTGAGTTACAGAGAAAAAAAATGAATTGTCTGTGGTTGTGTGGGTCTTTACCCATTCTCTAGCATTCAGACTGCACCTCCCCAACAAATTTATCAAATACTAAGGCTCAAACATTCACCTGTGTGTTGCCTTCAAGAAAAACTAATTTAGAGAAAGGAAACCATAAAAAGCCTACTGATAAGGACAATACATTCTTTTCTATTCATTCTTTTCAGGAGAGAAGGTTTTGTATTTTACCATTTTGAAATGACTTGGCCTTTCAAAAGAAAAAAATGTTTTATGCTATGTGATAGGAAATTTAAGTCTTCAAAATTGGAATGAGAAGTTTTGATTTTTTGTAAGGAATTAAGGGTTTGAGGCCAACCAGGATATTTCTCTCCTCTGGAGTGGTGTTTGAGAAGACTTATATTTTTCTGTCTTCCACTCCAGGTAGGATGAAATAACTTCTGAAAATTCCTAGTGAAATGAAGCATTTGATTCCTCTTTAGTTTTCAGGACACCAGTAAACTTCAGCTGAGCCCTTAAGTGTCCAGGCTTAGTGGTTCCATCTGGAAACTAGGGATGTGGTAGTTCTGTACATAAAACGAGTAAGTAAATTGCCCCTGCTATTCCCACATAGAGACAAATTTATGTTTTGAGGTGAATGCACACCATCAGTCTGATTTTCTTTTAAGTACTTTGAGTGTAATAGTCTTGGATCTGCCACTTTGAGAACAGTACTACTACAAACAGTGATGGAGACTGATTCAGCAGGTCAGATAGGGAAAGCAGATTTATCTGCAGGAGATTTCCAAGCACCTTTGTCTATGGGATTAGGAGTCCAACCTAAAAAGTCCTGAATAAAATTATATGTATGGTATGTTGTATGAATGCGAAGGCTTCTGTGCATGTTAATTAAGGACAAAATCTGCTTTCAAACAGTGTGATATGGTGTTTAAGCTACTAAATAGCTTTCTCTTTGTTTCTTTATTTTCTGGTTGCCAAGGAGATCAGGATTATTATGTATGGTACCTTTGCTCAAATTAGCTAATCCAAATCATGTTGTTAATGTATGTATGTTCCAAAGATTAAGAAAACAGGGAGAGAATTCTTTTTTCCAATCAGTGTAATTTGCAAGCTGCTGGGTTGTTATTTTTGTAGTCAATTCTGCTTTTCTCTGACCATTTTTTTTTTTCCATCACTGAAAATGTGTGAAATAAGATGCCCCAAATTCTTTATGCATCACTAACCTTTTCTCTTACCAGCACATTCTTTTTTGGTGATTGTTGCTCTACACTTTATCGTGTTGAGAGCTGCATGCTTGAGTTTTTCTCAGCTCTCAGAAATTCTGCGTTGCTCAGATACAAAGGGTTAGAGATACGATATGAGAATTTGACTAGAAGAGGACAGGACTGTGAGGACTCTACTGCACCACCCATGTCAAGCCATGTCAGGGCTACTCTGGAAGTGGGAGAGATTACTGAGGCTGCTCATTTCTCTAGAGTTCCTTATGATGACAGATAACTAGTCACAAAGGTAGAATGAAGAAGAAAAGATACTTTTACTAGCTTCCCAGTAGAAAGTTTCAAAAACACTCGTAAGGAGAGAAATGGATTATAAGAGATAGTAAGACCTAGTGCTGTTTGCTATTAACCATGGAAACATGCCATAGAGATGATTATTATAAGGTTTACAAATCCTTTAATCCAAGATAAATCATTACTTGTAAATGTACGGATTAGACTGCCTGGGACATGCTAGGAGATAAAATCGTGGAAGAGCCAAAAGCTCAGGTTGATGGGGTCTTCATAACTGTGCTGGGGCAAGGCAAAAAGCCCTTAATCCAAGTGAGGGAACCCCTAGGCTCCTTGATGGGTGACAGTAGGAGGTGATGAGACCCTCACCTTCCCAGTACCTTCTTCACAAGGGGACATAAAGAAAAGCTCTCCCATGCCCTCCTATCTGCCCATCTTCCCTGAAGTAATCCTCTGTGATAGAAGGCTTCTTGGCATATGAAGTAGCAATATTTCCCATTCGCTGTGCCATCAGTTATAGGAAGTTTTGCTACATTTTTGGATCCCAGGCTTCATTCCTCAAGAGCTGTCCTCTTTTAGCTGCCTGCAATTCTTCACGTTTTCTCCTGTTTTCTAGCCGTGTGAATATTGTTGTCTCAGGGAGCAGAAGGGAGTAGGACATTTTAGGAGAGGGGACAGAACTAGGCCCCTGAGGAGCTTCCTCACACTCAGCTAAGTTAAAGCTTCACATTTAAATGATGCTCAGTTCATAGAGATGTGGGTCAAGATGCCCTGAGGAGCTCTCTGCCACACGCCAAGCCATATCCCGAGCAATTTTACCACTACCTTTACAGGACCTGATGACAGCTGGGAGCAAAGCCTGGATACATATGGAGTATATTGGCTGTCTGGGCTTGGGCTGTCCTTAAATGCTGGTTTCACCAACTCAGGTGTCCCATAGCTGGTGATACAGATGAGCGTGGGCAAGGTCAGGTAGCCTGCACTTCCTTTTCCACTCTGCTGGCCCACCCAGGCACCGAGGGGAGGTTTAGCACTGTGTCTGTGCATGCGACTGTGCATGTATGTCTCCCCCACAAGCAAGGAGATACTGCTCTCGGTTGAATGCCTTCACACATTACTCCTGCAGAAAGGACCAAACTGCATCGAGTTCTTGATTCTTTCCAAATTATGAATTATGCAGGAAGAAAAGACCAACAGGAATCATTTAACTGTATGAACTATAATATGATACAACGTCAGTTAAATTTTGTACTCTTGGAGTTCATCCCTCCATCGCATTCTTGAATTTGCTCCTGTAGATTTAATTCATCCTATTAGTTTGAGGTTGACTGGCCTCAGCTTGGCAATCTCCTGTTTGATGGATACCTCTCATTTGCTGGCACTCTCTAACTATGCTGTCATTACCAGCCTCTCAAAATACACAGGTTTCTTTTTCTATTTCTACACAGGAGAGGAGGGAAAAAAAAAAAAAAAAAAAGAGCTCAGACATAGGAAGAAATTATGAGCTTGTCAAACCATGCCAAATTGGATTGAATTAGGTGACAGAGGATCTGAATTGTGCTATTTGTTCTGAATAAGTAAATGCTTTCCCCACCTTCCAATCTCACAACACTCTTGAAGCAGTGGCTTTTCCTCTGAAATGCCAAAAAACCCCGAAGCACTTCTCAAGTAACATGAGTTGATTTGTGTGAGCATTTACCATCACCTGAACACAAGCTTGTTTGCTTAACATTTTATACATTGCGTGTCAATATTTACCCAGCCTTCCTAACAAGAGAATTGATAGTGTTCAATTTGCAAGCCCAATGCTGTGCGTTAGCTGTGACATTGATATTGTCTCTTCTTGTTTTAGACCTCGGAGAGAAGCAAGTTTTTTTCCATCTTCTATTTATCCATTAATGCTGGAAGTTTGATCTCCACGTTTGTAACTCCTGTGCTAAGAGGTCAGTGTTGATTTAGAATAAGACAATAAATTAGCTGTCCTTGGACTACTCTGCTGTGCATAGTTAGGCTCTTATGACAACTGAATGGCAGAAATTATATTATCTGTGGAGTGGACAGTGTATTGTATTTACGCCTTGTTAATCCTGCTGTAGCAGTGTAACAGACTTATAGTACTATTAGGGAAGTCACAGAACCTATATTCCTGGTTGTATTTCAAAGATAGCATGTAACGTAGAGTTAAAATATGAAAGGTGGAAGGACCTATATGGTCATCTAATCCTCCCCACTGCCAGTGAAGAATTATTTCCCCATCTTGCCTGAGGTAACCTGTGGATGGGAACTGGTCTCTGCTCTCCTGTGCGGGTGTCAGGGCCAAAAAACTTAGGAGGGCTGATTTTGAAGTCCTACCTTCTCCCTCCCACAGGGTGCTGCTGACTTCTGGAGGTCTCAGTCCTGGCACCCAGGCATGTCTGTGTGGGTCTGCTTGCAAGATTGCAGCCCTGAGCAACTAGCCTTGAAGACAAAGAACAGGCCTATGCCCCATTTAAGACCTACTTTATATTCTAGCCAGTATGCACAACCCCTTTTAGTCCTTGAGTCTTGCTGTACTTCATTGTATTGCAGAGCCAAGGGGATTGGCGTGCTCTAAATACAGACACAGAGGCAGAGCAGCAGGCCATAGGTGATAGGAATGGGGACAGGGACAAGGTAGCCTTCACATTCAATAGCAGGTTTTTTTTCATTACATCCTATGGCCTCCAGGAAGCTTTCTTTGTTCGGAGTGGTTATGTTAGCAGGCCGTTCATTTCACAAGGCTGAAAACAATTCTGCTTGTCTCATATTTACACCATATGTACAGGCAAAGACAAATGCTGTATTTTTGCTCTTTCTCTCACTGATGTCCCCAGGTCAGCATTCTGTTGGGAAAGGGGCTTTTGCTCAACGTAGTCAGTGGGCAGATGAAAACCCAGTCCCCTTCGAACATCAAAACTTATGCCAATATAGCCTACCAATAAACTAGTTGCAACATGGAAATGAGGTGGAGAGGATGGGGAAAGAATAAAATTTTTGCTAATTGTGGAAGCTTTTCTTGGAAGAGCAAGAAATGCAGTTCCTAGACATTTGGCAGAAATGTGGAATATATACTTTTAGATGGAGAAGTGGAACTCATTTTGCATGTCAAAAGTTCAGTGTGCCCATAATGTCTCACTGCCAGTCTTGTTGGATTTCAGCTAATTTGCTGAAAATAAGTAAATAAATGCTATTCGTGCACACAGCTATGCAGCTGACTGTGACTGCCCAGGGACAGCAAACAGGAACAACTGGAGGCTTCATGGGTTAGTTTCCTGCTAGCTACGTTGGCTTATGTTAGCCATTTTGTTATTACTCCATGTAAGAATGCACTCATTTGTAGCCACTGGCATACAAACACAGACCCCATGGCTGGCTTTCTGTTTGCAACTGGACCTCTAAATTCATGTGGTGCAAGAATTGACCTGGTATGAGAGGTGCAGGGTTTCAGTGAACCCTAGCTCAGATCAATCAAAGCCATGGTGTAACAAACCTGGCTTCCTGGTGGGTTATTGCAAGGCCTGACATTTGGAGCAGGCTTCCTCTAGTGAGATTGTGAGGGTGGTGAGAAAGGGAACTGGATTTTTAAGACTAATCCTGTGCTTCCGCTTATATAGTAGGCGTATTGGCTTCCACTTTGTCCACTGCAGGTCTCTATGAAATCAGATTCAGGTTTTTAGCTCAGTAACTCATGCAGCTGACACAAATAATGTGGAAACACAGTACTGGTTATTTAAATCTAGGCAAACACAGAATGTTTTCAGGTTTTATTTTAAATGTTGAGGGGGTTTTCCCTGTTAAAGTTCCTACTACTTCTTTCTACCTATTTGTCTGCCCCCTCCCTTCCACCAGTCTCATCAATATCCCATTATCAGCTGCTTCTGCTGCCAAACACTAACCCTGCTTCCAAATTGTCATCTTCAAGGGAGGACAACTGTTTCAAGGAGATTCAATTCACAGTGTCAAGCACCAGCAAAGAACATTTAAAGCCAGAGGAAGTGACTGATTTAGGGGAAGCAAATCAAAGGCCCCAGTAACATAAGTCTGACTGTAATGAGGTGCTTTTATTTCTGACTTCTTTTTCAGGGGATGTGAAATGTTTTGGAGAGGATTGCTATGCACTGGCTTTTGGTGTCCCAGCAGCACTGATGGTGTTGGCACTTGGTGAGTGGAAGCAATAATGCTTGTAAGAGGAGTTACCATTTTTGAGTCAATGGATAGATGAGAAAATGCACAGATTCACTAGCTCTGGATGGACACTGTGATGTGAAACTCAAGGGTTCAAGGTCATCTAGCAATTCCACAGTTCAGAACAACAAGAAAAATCACTAGTTCACTTAACGGTGGGCAGACCATGGTTTTACTGCAAACCTTTATGATGATACTGATGAGAGGGTGGTCTGGTGGATATTTCACAGTACAATTGCTTTGCTCTATAAAGCAAAGGGAGGCACCAAAATTATTCTCCTGATGGCTTGCAGCTTTGTATGTGAGCAGGCTTGGCCTTTGAACTGCAATCTGAGCAGTCCTCAGAGTTCCCCAGCTTATAGAAGAGAAGCATAGCATGCCACTTCTAACCTTTCCACAGAACCTTTGCAGCTTGGGGCCATCTTTAATGGCTCAGACTTCTGCTTCAGAATCTATGCACCATAGAAATCACAGAACGAGCTGAATGAGGTATTACTTCATTCTAAGCTGTCTCACTTTGCCTGGCTGAAATAATTCCCACAATTACAGTGACAACTTATTATTATGTTGCAATAAAAAGCTCTTATTGTCCAAGTGTCAGGAGACAGCTGCAATCACCCTGCTTCCTAAAGCTTGCATCTTAGCCCCATTAATGTACTTGTCAAGATTTCTTCTTCAGCCCTTATAAAATACTCAACAATTTTCACATTCTTACTGTTACTCCTTGGTAGCCAATACAGAGGATATGTCATTAGCTTTAGTTTTACAGTTGCAAGCTGCTGAGGGGAGCAGTCCCCTTATTACACTGAATTTGAGAGGTTTTGACACAGCATGGGTTGACTTCTCATTCAGCTTGTTAGCTTAATTGAGAGACAAAGCAATTGTGTGATTTCACCACAGCATCTGTGATTTGAAAAGTTAGTTCCCCAGAGAATGTTAGTGTTGCTCTCTACCCTCAAACTTCCGTCAAAGAGAAGAATCAGGACACTGGAGAAATGTCATCAGGCCGCAGCTAACGTTACAGCAGTTATTTTCAAAAAAAGTGCATGGTCACGGGCCCGAGAAGCTTCTCTTTTCCCTTGTGTCCTGTTCCCATCAGTTTAAGGCAGCACAGGCTCCTCTGTGCACCATTGTGTGATGAATGTTTCTAGCAGAGTAGTAGTTGCCCAGGGGAAAATGGACGTGTAAATATTGCAGTTTTGGTGAGGGCATCAATTGAAATGTGTTTTTAGCTAGAGTCCTCCTGCCAGATTCCACGCCTGCCTGGCAAAGCAGCTCTGTGTTCCTTTGTAACATGCTAAAATGCTCTTGGAATTGATATATTTGACTATGTGAGCAGCATGCAGAACTGGAATAAATACCATTTCAGCCCTGACTGGCCCTCTCCCGGTGGTGATGGAGAGCAAGGATAGATTTGGAGGCAGAATGGAAATCTCATAGAGCATGATTTTCTGTGCTGCTTATTTTTCTGAAAGGTGGGGGAAGATTGATACTATTTAATTCCAAATGCCAAACCTAATGCAGGAACCTCAGTTCCCAAAGGAATCAATGATGTTGCCAGGAAACCTAGAGAGTCACCTTTTAGAGGCACCAACAGATCCACAGGGAGATGCTAAAATTTAGGTAGTGCAACTACCCACTCTGGGTGACTTTGTACAAGTGTCTTTCAGTGCGACTCACCTAAAGTGACTTCAGAGGTCTCTCTGACAGTTCTGCAAGTCAAAACTGGATGTGAAGGGTCTTCACAGTCAGAAAAGAGAAATGGTGAGTTCCTTGCCGTATCTGAGGCCTCCTGGGTTAGGACAGAGGTGCCTGCTTTTCACCACTGGCTGTGGACTAACCCAAACAATTGGGTTAGTTGAAAAAGTTGAGGTTAGTTTCTTATATGGTTTTTACGCTCGGCTTTTATTGTACTTCTCCTTGCTAATGTCTTTGGAATTGCAATGTGCTCAGAGGCTCTCAAAGAGCAGGACAAATGATGTGTAATCAGCCCAATCTCTGACAGGATTTTGAAGCCTTGGTCCAATGTTCTTTGTGCTTTGAGGGAGAAAACCAAGACAAAACAATATCTTAAATTGTATATCCCTTCATGGAAACCATAAATTGAGGTAATTTCTGTTAACACCAGTGTGTGATGCAGTGACCTTTGCAGCAGTTTCCATGAAATGTGTATTGAGGTGTAAGTACATAGAGCCTGTGTTGGATCTGGATTAACCCTCACACAGTTGCAATGAGTCAGGGCTGATTTTCAACATCAGGTGCAGCAATTCAATGTGGATTACATTTTAAGTTTAGCCTACAAAAAGCATAGATGGAGGTAGTTTTCAAAGCTTTGATTCCCAGCATGAATCAGGTGTGGAGGTGCCTGTTGTGTTAGAGCAGCTCATGAGAAGATGACCATGACTTCCTAGGGATCACACTGCCTCATGTAGGATGTTGCATTTTTTTCCGTCAGAAGGGATTAAAGGAGTCCTGTATATTTATTTTGTTAAAAGTGCAATCCTGTAAGCCCCAAGGACAGAGAATTTCTGTTGAATACAGGGGTGGGGATCCTACCCAGAAGCCAGTACATGATTGAACCTCAGTGATGTGAATTCCCATTTGGACTATAATATTTTTCAGTTGTATTCATTGCTGGAAGTGGACTGTACAGAAAAACACCACCACAAGGGAATGTCTTACTGGAAGTGTGCAAATGCATCGGTGTAAGTGTGTGTCATTCTCTCTTTTTCATACATGACTCTGAGATTCCAGGTCAGAAAAGTGCAAAGGGAAAGGCGAGGTGACATCTGGAGATCTTTATGCTGCTCCTGGATATCTTGCTGATGAGCTGTAAGGAGTAAGAAACACATATAGGTCCTAGTTCATTCTTTCAACATTTAAATTGTTTTTCCTTAGCTCCATGAACTGTTCAGTTGACGTCAGTAGAACCACTAGTGGCAGATGCTGATGGAGGCTGAACTGAAAGGAAAAAACAGAAACTCAGAGTATCAGATACATGACTCAATTTTTTTCAGCTGAATAATTTTACTAAAGTTTACCAGTTCAGCAGACAGTAATAGTACACATTCGTATTATGCACATTCAGCATGTTCATGTAAATGCAAGAGACACCTGCTGAAGTTGCATTATATATAGCCTTATCAATTATTTTTCATAGTGTGTGAGCTGAATATAGTATGTGAAAAAGTACTCTCTTATTATTAGGTGGATAATGATGTTTCTTTTTCAGGAAGCTGCTGCTAACAGAAGATTTTTTATTTATTTTTTATTTTTTTTTTGCCTAGGTCAATCCTAGTGACAGATTTACCTTGGGGAACCAGGCCAGATCTCAAAGATAAGATTTCGAAGTGAGATCTGCCACTCTTTTGGCCAGGGTGGCTGTGTTCAGTGTTTTCAGTGACTGGAGCACACAGCATAAACAAACAAGTTACAAATTCGGTGTCACTGATTTCTCCTCCAGTGATAAACCAAATTGAAAGCTCGTCTAGAAGTGAATGAGGCAAGGGCTTCACCAGGAATATGTAAAAAAAGGACTACAGAACAAAGAAGGGAGCGAGAGCTTGGGTTTTAACATTGCTTTGGGTAGCAAGGCATTTTCTTCCTAGCATGGTGGTCAATATGACAGGTGCTTTTTGGAAGAGAATTGAAGAAATTATGTTTAAAGCTTTATGATGTAGCACGTTTCAAATCAAGCATGAAACTGTCTTTGGGGGCTAATGTCAGGTTTGTCTCTGAAAGACAAGCCCGTGAGGTAGTTCATTCCCACATAATTTTAATCAACTAATGTCACAGAAACTTCCCTGTGGAGAATTAGTCATAAAGCATCCAATCCAAGATTTTGGAAGTATTCAGCAAAACTGCTGCAATTTTCTGACACAGCTCACATTTGGGGATGGGGAGGGCAGCCTTGAGTTGGGAATGTGACAAGGGCAGGTACACCACTAGGGAGTTACCTGTTTTTCTCCCTAGTTTGCTATTAAAAACCGGCTGAAAAACCGGTCTCGTCAGATTCCAAAGCGAGATCACTGGCTGGACTGGGCATCAGAAAAATACTCGGTAAGTGATGCTCTACCTGGCAGGTTTGGAGGGGGAAGTGGGGAGACGGGGAGACAGTAAGACTGGCCTGGGCACACCACTCCTCACATGCACCCGACTCTCATTTGTCCTGTCCGTTCCCACATCTGTACTCTCCTGACCCTTAATGGACAGTTTAGGTGCTGCACTGAAATGCAGAAATGCAAATATGTCCAATATTGTGAATCAGTGCAATGAATAACTGCCATGCAGAAAGGTAGAAGGTCTCATGCTTTGTAGCTTGAATCACCTGTTGGCTTTTCACTGCCATCTTACCTTTTTGCCCGTTCCCTTTATAGAAACAGCTGATTGGGGAGGTTAAAATGGTGACACGTGTTCTCTTCCTCTTCATACCACTGCCAATGTTCTGGGCCCTGTTTGATCAGCAGGTACAGTACAGTGCATTGCAGGTCTGCCTCCTGGTGTGGATTTGCACCCTTGTCCTTCCAGGGTAACACCAAAGCATCCTGGGGACACAGAGCACCACGCTCCTGTCAGGCATCCAGGGGCTTGCTCAGGCAGTACCCACCATCACTGCCAGCTATCCCTCCGCAGCCCTGCTGGGTATCTGGCACAGGAGGGTGAGAAGGGAGAATTTGCCCTGCCTACTAGTAGGTGTTACGGGGGGGGGGAGGGGGGGGGGGGAAGGAATAGATGGGAAATAAGACCTCCAGCACTGTTGTCTTCTCTGTCCCCATGTTTTCTAGTCCCATAGGACATTCTGAAGGCTTCACAGTTGTCTGTTTTCTCCTTAGGGATCCAGGTGGACTTTGCAAGCCACAAAAATGAATGCTGATTTTGTAAGTACTTAATGTCAACAGGGCTGGTAAGACTAGTAGTAACATCACTGCTCTTGCTTTTTAACCGGAGTCTCGCAGTACTAAGAGCATCTGCTTGATGAGTCTGGGTGAGTTGCACTTTTGGTAATTAGAAGTGAGAGGGTCTGTGCAGCCATATTCAATTCATCACAGCACTTCTTGGCAAGGAGCAAGGGCTGGGGAGTTGTCAGCAGCCTGCAAAGTCAGGAGTGCTGACCTACTGGCAACTGGTCACTCTGTGACCTTGAGCAGGTAGGGCTTCCAGCCTGCTACCCCCACTGAAGACAGAGAAGTTAGGGAAAGCTCACACAGCTCTTGTAAGGTATAACTAGAGCTGTTGTAGTTGTGTATTTCTGCCCTGGCTTATTTGGTGATACATTAATGAAGTCTCTCAAAACCATCAGGAATCTTATGTATAGGGTAGAGATATGATGAGGGTTAACTAGTTAGTAGCCATAAAGATCTTGAAAGATGTGAATGGCAAATGGTGCAGGGTGCAGTGGCAGATAAATGTGGATGAACTGTCTGCTTAAAGATGCCACCATACAAGGCTGATTTCCAAACATACGTGTTTTAACAGGCCATCTAGATCTTACCTGTGGATGCTCATATGACAATTCAGGATTGTAAATGCCCATTTTCCAGTTTAAAATTGACTTAAAGCCCCAAATTTGATCCCTACTATGTCACTCCTGTTTAAAATTGGGCTCTCAGCATGTGATACTCATTAGGCTTAACTAATTCAAATGAGGCATAAAAAAGACTACACCTTGGGTAATATTTATTCACCTCAGAAAGACAGAACAATGAAAGTTCATGCAGTCTTTGTGATGTGTATCTGAAAACTTTGTTTTCTGCTGCTTTGCTCACATGCACTTAGTGATCCATTAGCAGAAGATTTAAGAATCTCCAGGTGTCATTTATTAAACTCTTTTCAGTGAAGAAGGATGTATTCAGGGCTTTTTTGTCACACCAACTTGGATAGGTTTTTGGCTTGTGTTTCAGTCTCATCCATTCTCCATTTGTGAGTTGTCCCAACTCATGACGGTGAGAATTAACTGCAGCACTGAAGGGATCCCACCATTAGGCTTGCTGGAGTTCATGTTTGTAATATTCTATGCTTTTCCCTTTTGCAGACAAAGGGCTCAGCTAGGAAGTCCAAAGTTAAAAAGGGAATGATTTAGTGTGAGATTAAATATTCGCAGGCTTGTTTCCTAATGGCTCATTTGTATATTGTGCATAAAGTAGCAGGAGGGGATATGTGCCTAATATTTTTAATTGTCAGACTCCTTTGCTGTGACCAGTGGTTTCCACTCTTCAAGGAGGCAACTGCTGCAGAGACAGGCAGCCATTCTAGATTCAGCTGAGGACAAGTCTGGCAGACAGGAGAACAAACCCCCCCAGTGCTTTCTTGGGAAGATATTATTTCCTTCCTCAATTTTCCCCCTCATCTCTTCATAGACTGGTTTGGGTTGGAAGGGACCTTAAATCTAGTTCCAACACCCTGCCATGATCAGGGACACCTTCCACTAGACCAGGTTGCTCAAAGCCCTGTCCAACCTGACCTTGAACCCTTCCAGGGAGGGGGCAGCCACAGCTTCTCTGAGTAACCTGTGGCAGCGCTTCACCACCCTCACAGTAAAGAATTTCCTCCTTCTATCTAATCTAAACCTACTCTCTTTCAGTTTAAAATCATTACCCTTTCTCCTATCACTTCACTCCCTGATCAAGAGTGCCTTCCCATCTTTCCTGTAGGCCCCCTGTAATTACTGGAGCCTTCTCTTCTCCAGGCTGATCAACCCCAACTCTCAGCCTGTCCTCCCAAGGGAGGTGCTCCAGCCCCCTGACCAACTTCATGGCCTCCTCTCGACCCGCTCAAGTGGGTCCATGTCATTATGTTGGGGGCCTCCAGAGCTGGACACAGTACTCCAAGTGGAGTCTCATGAGAGCAGAGCAGAGGGGGAGAATCCCCTCCATGGATGTGCTGGCCACCCTTCTCTTGATGCAGCCCAGGACACGGTTGGCTTTCGGGGCTGCGAGTGCACATTGCTGGCTCACAGTCAGTTTTGCACCCACTAACACCCACAAGTCCTTCTCCACAGGGCTGTTCTCAATCCACTCATTGTCCAGCCTGTATTTGTGCTTAGGATTGCCTCAACCCATGTGCAGGACCTTGCACTTGGCCTTGTTGAACTTCACAAGGTTTTCATGGGCCCACCTCTCAAGCCTGTTGAGATCCCTCTGGATGGCATCCCTTCCCTCCAGCATATTGACTGCACCACACAGTTTGGTGTTACTCACAGGCTTGCTGAGGGTACACTCAATCCCACTGTCCATGTCCCCAACAAAGATGTTAAACAGCGCCAATCCCAATACCGACCCCCAAGGAACACCACTCATCACCGCTCTCCAGTCAGACATCAAGCTGTTGACTGCAACTCTTTGAGTGTGACCATCCAGCCAATTCTTTAGCCACCAAGCGGTCCATCTGTCAAATCCATGTCTCCAGTTAAGAGACAAGGATGTCCTGTGGGACAGTGTCAAATGCTTTGCACAAGTCCAGGTAGATAATGTAACTTGCTCGTCTCTTATCCACCAACACTATAACCCTGTTGTACAGGGTCACCAAATTTGTCAGGCACTATTTGCCCTCAGTGAAGCCATGTTGGCTGTCACCAATCACCACCTCATTTTTTATGTGCCCTAACATACTTTCTGAGAAGATAAGCTCCATGATCTTGCCAGGCACAGGAGTGAGACTGACTGGCCTTTAGTTCTCAAGGTCTTTTATTCCCTTTTTAAAAATGGGGGTTATGTTTTCCATTTTCCAAACAGCAGGAACTCACCAGACTGCCACAACTTCTCAAATATGATGGATAGTGTCTTAACCACTTCATCTGCCGGTTCCCTCGGGATCCACAGATGCATCTCATTGGGTTCCATGGGCTTGTGCACCTTCAGATCCCTTAGATGGTCCTGGACCTGATCATCTCCTACAATGGCTGATTATTCATTCTCCCAGTCTGTGACTTTGTCTTCTGTGACTTGGGCAGTGTGGCTGGAGCCCTTACTGGTGAAGACTGAGGCAAAAAAGTTGCTGAGTACCTCAGCTTTCTCCATGTCCTGGGTAATCAGATCTGCCTTTTCCTTCCAAGGAGGGCCTGTATTTTTCCTTTTATCACTGATGTACCCGTAGAAACTTTTTTGTTGCTCTTGATGTCCCTGGCCAGATTTAATTCTATCACAGCTTTGGCCTTCAACTTAATTTCAAATGAAAAGCATTGTGTGGAGTTAAAAAAAAGAACCACCAGCCCCTCCCTGGAGACAGCTCATTGGTCCCTTCTGGGGTCTAGTATCCTTCCATCCATCCCTGTTGACATTGTCTGATTGTGGGGAATGGGTACAGTGATGCAAAGGTCGGGAACCTCTAATAGCCTGAAAGACTCTGGGCTCAAACCAAGAAGTCACAGTTGACCAAAGCCTAATAGGTTCCCTTGGCAGATGGAGAGAGGAAAGAGGTGTTGTGCAGCCCACTGGCTCAGGGATGATCTTTTGTTATGCTTTTGTGGTGCTTGGGAGAAATGCCAACAGAGCTCAGAGGGTCCTGAACCTTGAGAGCACTCACTTGTAGGGTTTGGACTTTTCCCATTACAGAAACAGGAAAGGAGGAGGTTCTAAGCCCAGATCCCAGCTTGGACAATAACATGCCCATTCCTCCCCAGTCACCTAGTTCATGGCTCAGCCAGTCTGAAAGAGTAGTCTCAGTACCTGTTGTAGGCTGTCCCCTAGCTGCCATATATCAAGGACTGAGTGTAGCTTCCTTTTGCAAAACAATTCTCATTAAACACTGTGTCCTTAGATGACAAGTGTCAAGAGCACAATATCAGCTGCTAAAGCCAACATAAAGCATTTGACGAAACCACCTTTGCTGCTAAGGCCTCTACTGGACTGGTTGCTTATTTGCCATATGCACTGTTATGGTGTTTATAAATCACTTGGAATATCTTTCTGTTTCAGGGAATATATGTCCTTCAGCCTGACCAAATGCAGGTAAAAGATACTATAAGGTAGGAAATAACCCTTAGAAATGTATTTTCTTTTTCTCTCTCATTTTTATTTTTCTCATGGGACCCGTGGCCTTTCTCTGCTCCTTTTGAAGGTAATAGCGGTGCTCCTGCTGGCTGCTGTGGTCTGGACTCTACCTTATTGCTCACTAGCTGTTTTGCAAGCTTAATCTTGGGGTTCAGAAGGCCCCAAGGATACTGTAACATGAAGGTTGAATCCTGCTGAATAATACAGAGATGTGGGGAGACATGCCATCATAATAGTTCTTGAACTAGTACTGGCATGTGGAGGATGCAAGTTGTGTCTTCTTCTGACATGTCCCTGTGCTGGGATGAGTGTTGTACCTGAAATATGTTTCCTTCCTCCCTTTCTGCAGGGCAGATGAAAATGTGAAGACTCCATGCTGTCAAAGTTGATTACAATTCTTACACTGAACAGCTCTGGAGAAATTTAAAGCTGTTCTGTTCCCTGAAATCCTCCTTCAAAACTGAAACAGCATTTATCTCTGCTTGTTCTCTGTCACACTGTTTTCTTGCTCTGCCACTGCTGGCTGGCGGACAACCTCTGCCCCTCCCATGAGAAATTTAGTTCCTGGGGGATTACCCAAATGTGTGGAAGTGTGAGAAATTGCCATTCTCACAGAATAGTGCCTGTTCCTCTGGGATTTTGCTGAAGTCCCAAGATGTTTCCATTATTGCTGATTTGTTGTAAGGTCCCACCACATCACTGAAGGTCACCTGCCTCTATTGTCAGTGGGTTTCATACTCTTTAAAAACATACTGCTTCACTTTTCTTTTCAGGGAAACTGGGCCAGTGATGCTTGCTTACCTCTTGGAGGGGAGGATATGGACAAAATGTATTCGTGCCTGTGAAAACTAAATAGCAGAAGCTGTTGAAGTGCAAACTATGATTATATTTTAAAAGGAGGTTTTAAAGTGTTTGTTCATGTCCTTTCTGTAATGGAATTATTTCTGGAGGACAGTGCTTTATGAGTTTAATTACTGAAAGTTGATTTCTAGTCACTAAACTCCCATTCTTTTGTATTGCAGTTCTTAAATCCTCTTCTTATTCTTGTCTTCATCCCAATTTTTGACCTTGGGCTCTACCCCCTCATAAACATGTGCAAATTTAATTTCACGTAAGTACTTGGGGGCAATGCAGATGCATCAGTGCTTTTTCTGTTGCAGCAAGTGTGCAGAATAACTTTTAAGGAGGAAACACAAATTTCCGTTCACCTTTCCCAGTACTTGCTTCTACTTCAGGCCCAAGAGTCAGCATCACCCTTTTCCATAGGCCCTGGAAATTCCAGAGTGATGTTGAATTCTGCTCTGTACAGATTTTCCCTGAAAGCAGATATGAACAGTTCCTCTTTGAATTTGATCAACCCGTTCTTCACCTTATCTCTTATATCCCCCCAAAATATCTCCCTCCCTGAAAGGTCCCTGTGGGGCCAATTTCACTGTCGCATGTGGGCTACATGTGGTATTGTGAAAGCAGATTCCACACATGGATCTGAACCAGTCAGGACATAAGGGAATTTCCATATGGCCCATGCATTAAAATGCGTGGGCCATATGGAAATTAAAATCCCTGGTCTGTGTTAGTAAGAAGTGCAGTGTAATAGGAGCAGACCTCCAGGTTGGTTCTGAGACCCGCTTTACTCATTTTGGGGGAATTTACTTCAGAATAAAGTCTGTCTCTGTGGACTGATTTCCTTCAGCAGCGGGAGTATGTTATGTGCACTCATGGAGTGCCTTTGCCAGTGTGGTTTCAGCTGAAAGGAACCAAGTTTCCATGTTCCAGCACCACTTCTCAACATGAACCACAGTGTGGGAAGGGGCGATGAGTGGGAGATTGGCTTATAGGGCATGTTCCTAATCCAAACTAAAGTGCTGGATAAACAAAACCACATAAAATGGGGATGGAAGGAGCCTCGTAAGCCTACCCCTTCACCCTGCTGATCCTTCCCCATCATGCTGAATTACTCGCACCTGAACACATATCAGAGACATTGCCCAGCCCTGTGATGGTGCCCTTTGGAGGACACACATTAGAAGCTGTGCTTCTCCATGCTGTCTCAGTGTGAGCCTGTGCCCTGGACTGAGCCCCAGCTTGACAGAAAACTACCTGCCTGATGACCAGTTCACAGACTAGTTCACCCAGCAGCGCAAACTCATGCACGGATCAGGACTGAATGCCATGCTGTCTCTGGCCCCTGGGTGCAGGATACTAACAGGCTCCTACCCAGTGTAGCTGTAGAAGTGTCTGTGGAAACACTGTAGGCTGTAGGATGTTAGCCTATGAGGCTGTAAAAGTTTGTGCTACAAAATCCCAATGCAGCATTGAAGATCAAAACCATTTTTTTATTACAAGATGCAAGCATTAAATATTTTCTTATCCCAGGGCATGTAACTGAGAGACAGAATTTGGGTTCCTAATCAGGATTTTCCACAGCCTGGTCAATCTCAAATGTGAATCCAGACCATCACACAGAGTGGAGACCACTGAATTTAGGACCAGATTTGTTTCAGATCTCCACAAGTCAATACTCAGTTTGGACCTGCTGTTCTGGACCTGTTTTATTCTGCTTTATATCAGATTGTCTTATGTAACTCTGGTAGAGTTGCACTAGTTTTGCTCCAAGTTCAGAAGCAAGCTCTTTATTCTCTAGAAATGTAAATGTATTGGCATGAGAAATAACCCAGAATGATGCCACAGATGGTCAGAAACATTGATGACACAAACTACACATTTTTCTGCTCCTCATTCCTGCTGTTAAATAGCATGCTACTTTTCTTTTGCCTTTTCCAAAAGGGACTTGAAGATATATAATTTCTAGTGCTCCTTCCAACATCTCAGGTTAACATAGTGCCATGAGCTATTCCCACTAGTAGAGCTAGGAACAAGATAATATGAAACTTGCAAGCAAAGAGCTTTTTTTCATGGCATATCAGTTTTAATTGGCCTCAGTGCTGGCCTCATACAGAATAATAGAATAGTTTTAAGTTAAATGATTGGCAATTTAAACAGCATGTCATCCCCAGTGCCACCTGTTGGATAGTTTATTATATGATTTTGGCACATCTTGGGCTCTGAGGAATGGTATTCTATATTTTAAATTACTTTTTTGTATTAATGGCTCCTCTTTCATTTGCTCCATAGACCTATTAGGAAAATGGCAACAGGTATGATCCTTGCAGGAATGGCGTTTGGACTTGCAGCTGTTGTGGAAGTCAAAATAAATGTAAGTATAGCACAAGGGATTCCTCAGAAATAGTCTCTTTCCCTGGAGTGTTTTTATTGATGCCTTTAGATAATCCTTTTAACCATTGTGTTCCTTGATCATCATTTTAAATGTGTTCTTTACAGTTAAGCGTACCGATCCAGTTGCTAATGATAATTCTTACTTTGTCTACTTTTCCTTCTCTTTCTCTCTGTCTGTCTCTTTCTCTCTTTCTAGTCTTTGCAGTTTTGCTGTGCCGGCCATCTGTATTGGTCTATATTCTAGATTTCCATCGTCAAAGTGCTTGGCAGACATCTAGTTAATGCTAGTGATTAATTCCCAAAAGGTAGTCTGTTCTCTCTCCTATTTCTTGCTATAGCTCGCCTATATTTTACTTATTTTACTGTTTGGGGCTTTTCTTGTATGTGGAGATAGTGGTTTTGTTTTTTAAATTTGATTACTTTCCTACTTTAGAGTGGGGATGTGTTTTTTTACAAGCCAAATTGTCTCTCCAGTGAGGCAGGTGAATCCAGTCACTACCATAGTCACAGGTGCCAGGGACTGCCAGGCATCCCCAGATGTGATGGCAGAAAATCTCTTGTAAATTCAGTGTTAGCTCCAGCAGCTTTGTACCATTTGTTTCTGGCCCGTGACCAGTCTTGTGCAGACTTTGGCTGACCTTTGTCTCATGAAAGTTACTATAGGATTAATTTTTAAAGCTTCCATGTATACTTAAAATGTTCTGCTAGAGTGGCTGGCACACAGCCCTGGATTAACATCTGCTGATTCCTCAGTTGAATCCACTGACAAATCTGCTGAAAACGACACTTTCTGGGTTCAGGTCTTCTTTCTGATCTCCTTACGTGAGCAAAGAAATGTTCTCATTGCCACCACCAGCAGCTCTGGCAGAGCACTAAAGTCTGCTCTGGCTGTGGGTGACTCCTCTGGGCAGAGGCAAAGTGAGTTAGAGGTTCCTCCCTGCCTGAGCATGGAAATTTTACCCTGAGGGCTGCTAAAAGCTCTAGCAAAAAGGGGGATAGCAAAGAGGTCCGCCTTGGCTTGGCTGTGGGTAGCACAGGTGAAAAGCCACAGTAATGGAATTTGCTGGATAACATTAACATGCCTGTTGGTCCAAAGCAGCACAAGGGAATCAGTATCTCCCTATCTTCTCTGCCAGTGTGCCTCCCAACCAAGTTAGGTTTAAACTGCCTTGTCTGCAATACCCAAATTATAGGATGAGATAGAAAAAAATTAATAGCCCTGAAGTATTCCTGGCAGCTACTTGAAAATAAAGTGAGAAAAAAAGAGATGCTTTGAGAAAATAATAATAAATTATTCAGTTTAGATCTGCAGGTAGTGCAAGGCTGACATTGATTGATGTACTCTTTCTAGGAAATGATTCCTGACAGAAAGAGATAACTCTGTGCTGGAGGCATTGCCTTCCCTTTCTCAGAAAACAGGAAATAAGATCTATACAGTCAGCTGTTAGATAGCATGGTGTCAAGTGATGCAAAAGCACCGATTACAGATGTGGAGCTGGACTGGGATTTTCAAAACTGCTTAGCTTCTGGCCTAATTCTTTTCCCAGTCACCGACTGCAGTGGGAAATAATTATTCTGGTCACTGCTTTTGAAAGCTAAGCACATTTTTTTCCATTTTGATATGGCAGTTGGTTAAATCCAGGCACCAGGGAGCTGTATAATGAAAGCAGTGACATTGTTCTACCTACCCAGCAGTTGTGTAGCTTGTATGCTTAGCAATGTGAAAAGCAGTTTTGGGGAGGAATGATAGGTTGGCTATTGAGCTACTATGAGGAAAACTCCCTAAATAAGATTTATGTTCAGTTTTCTCTCAGTGTAATTTCTGATGAGGAAGGGATGGAAAAGTGTCATTACAGAGAGGAAGACTATTACGGCTAAAATTGAAGAGATATTAAAGTGCTAATAAAGCATACAGATGGCACTTAAAGCCTTTTACTTTAATTAGGAAACTGATATGCCTCGACTTGTCCCAGAAGAAAGTTTAATTCGGGTTCTGAATTTGGCAAAGAACCCTGTTCACGTGACAATCCAAGACCAGGACCTATTTCAGCAGCCCGTGGAGGCTTTTCAGGTAAGTATATATGTGGGGCTGAAAGGCCCCTTTTGCATCTCATTGAAGAAAGGGTGGGCTTTTTTCCAGGCATTTTCTAATAAAGTCCACAGATGCTAGAGCTTCTTCTCCTCCACCACCTTAGAAGTTCATGGGAATAGATTTAAAAATGGAGCATATTATCTCTGTTATTGAGACAGAAAAGTTTGGAGACATATTTCCATGGCAAGGGAGGAAATGGCTAACTGCATTCACCTGTAATTAGGAGTAAAGGATAATTGTCCTGAGATGAGCATGTAGAGACATTTAACTCGCATCTCTCAGTGCTCAGACCAGGCATTGCTGCTGGGATCTGGATGGCATCTGAAAAGTATTTACCTGCAAAGGAGGAAAGAAATGGGAAGGCAATTAACTGGGCATAGGTGCTGGGTTGTTTCCTTTTTCAGCTTACAGATTACTTTACAGGTCAGGCCAGTCTGGGACTCAGACCAGCAGTCTGTTGGCCACCAGCAGCCTGCCATGTTTTAGATGTGGTCCCACTGGGTCAGGGCAGGGTCAAGGGAAAGATGAGCCGTGTGGGCAAAAGTTGTTCCCTGACCTTTGGGTTGCAGCTGGCAAGAGAATGTGCCCCAAGCTCTGGCTTGACCAGCCCAAAGCCTACAGGTCAACATAGGTCCTTTGCTGTAGAAGACAGCTCTGACTGTTAAAGAGGAGATATGGTTGCACTTGGTGGGAAGAATCAGATCCTTTCTCATCTGAAAAAAAGTGTAACTAAGTTTGTTTTTTCTACAGAATCCAACTGAATACTCAAAATTAATACTGAATGGAGAGGAACAGAGCCTTCTCCTCACCCTGCAACATCAAGGATTGTCTCTTGCTTTTAACTACACCGTGAAGGAAAAATCAGTATACAGCCTAATTGTTTTTGAGGCAGAAGGAAGCCTATCAAGCCGCTTAGTGAGTGTGGGAATGAAGTGTAAATACAGTATTAATTCAATGTCTGTGATGATACAATGGGGTAATAGGCTCATTAATTCATTTGCTCAGTTGCAGTGTCTGTCTGATTGCTCTCAGATGCTCTAAACCTGACTTCTTAGCTAGCGGCACTGGATCTGTACACATTTCTGCTGGTTGATTAATAGAGGCGTTATGGCATCTGAGGGTTTCTGGGCACACTTTAATCCAATGAATGCTGCAGTGGGAGAGCAGAGTCATGCCTGCTAGGCAGCAGATCTTGAGAAAGCTGAGGAAACAGAACGCCAGAGATTTTCCCCCAAAGATGGTTCTATAAAGCAAAGATGTTAAAGAGGCTCTAGGGCTGAGAATGGAATAAAAACATCAGAGGAATGATTCCAGGTTTAGTTATTGCAAGTGTTTAGTGAAAATGCACAGAAGGCCCATTTGTTTTGCTGAACAGAATAAATGATTAAGCTCATTTCAGGCTCTGCAGCAGATCCGGCTGTGTTTGGACTTTTGTGTATTGCTGCAACAATCAGAGAAAGACATATGGCATGTATAGGGCCAGATTCTGGTATTTTTATATGTAGCTGTATCCCAAGAAGCTCTCTTTAAATGATTGGTGTTATTGCACATTGTGGCAGGTATGTAAATGTCAGCAGAATCTGTCCTAATGCTAAAATATCAATTCTCTTTGCAGTTCTTCAGCTTCCTACCTTGTAGGATTGCCACACCGAGCATTCAGTATTGTATAATAGAAATCATATAACCATTTTTAAAAATTAGGAGTTTTAATAATTTATTTTTTTCTAACATTGTGAATTTTTTGCTGTTTTATGGCTTAGAGTCCGGGGCTCATTATCACACAGTGTTGTTAATTTTCCCTGTGACCCTGATGACTGTGTGCTGTTTCCTTAAGAAATGGGTACTTGTACAGTGATCTTCAAACAGTCCTTAAGAAGTGAAATCCTGCTACAGGCTGGAGCAAAGCAGGCTCTGAGCTTCAGTACATCTCTGTGCTGCCCTATCTATCTAGCCTGTGTTTAAATTAATGCCCACCCTGGCATGGGCAGGTCTCCATGTGCTGGGGAACAGCCATGCTGTTGGGTGGTGGTATTGACCTCTCATTCTCAGCTGTAGGTAAGGGAGGTGTGGGAGATAGTGTGGTAAATGCTACTAATTTTTCCAGCATTGCAACACAAGAAAGGCAATTCCAGCATCACTGCTGTGTTGCAGGGCTTTCCCTGGGGTAGCCATGGCCCACACCAGCTTCTCTCACTGCTGGGTTTGGCCCCTCACTCAGGTGGGGGTGCTTTCCTGGAAGGATCCAATCTGAAATTGGTTTCTTCTCCTTTGTGGGCTGTTGAGTAGGCAGGAAATGAATTTGAGAGCTCTGGGGATCATTGATGAAAACGAGTAATGATTTGGCTGGCCTGTCTGCAATGAACTAGAGTGTTAATCCCCATGTGCCTCCTGTGGAAAAAAAATGATGTTGTTGTTTATTATTTATTACGCTGACATTTATTATTCACTGTGGCTATTTATTATTTAGGGCATACATTATTTGTGGGTCAGCATATCACACTGAAATACAATAGACATTTTATAAGTATACTGACATTCTGGATCCTTGGTCTCAAAAGCTCAGGGTTTAACATCAGGAAGAAAGTGTGGAGAAAGGGCTAGAAAATTTTAAGAGAAAGTCAGTTTCTGAAGATAGATTCAGTCTCTTTTGGCTTGTCTGGGTTACATCTGTGGGCAGCACAAATTGAAATTGCCCTGCCAGCTTAAGTGGTCATGGCACAACTGTGGATTTCTACCAGCTAAGAACCTTGCTCTGCATTCTTTTCGTGTGACGTACAATCTTCAGGGCAGGGATGTGTATTTGCTGTCTTTTTTCAGCATTGTACAATGTACTTCTGTGGCCAGATGTAAAGTTGATGTGAGAGCCCAGTTGATTTCCATGGGCTTTGCAACATGTGTAACTCCACAGACACCAGTATTTTCTGCTACACATTGTTATAAGGCAGCACTAATGAATATGTTTGATTTTTTTTTTTTTTTCTTCCCCTCTTTAGATTACAGACTTGGAAGCAAAGCCAGAAAACGGTTTGGCAGCTGTTAGGTAGGAATGGCTTTTTCTGAGGATTTGGAGGTGGTGCAGCAAGGGAAACTGCTTTTGTCTAACACAAAATATATGTAACATAACCCAGATGTTCTCAGGTTGGAATCTAGTCCACACTACTCATGCAAGACTCAGGTGTCAGCTGTGGAGGCTTGACAGCGTGTCACCTCCCACACTTGCCATGCAGAGCTGAGCATTATTGCTGCTTACTGTCTAGGATAGTCTGGGCTGAGATGGCAATGTAAAAGATCTCCTCCCTTGGAAGAGTGGTAAATTCATCTCACTGTGTCCCACCTCTTTGGGAAAGAAAGGGAAGAATCAATCTGGAAAGGAGCCATTGTAATTTATCCTCTGCAAACTGGCCAACCCATGGCATTCATTTATTTCACCCAACCTCATGCACAAATGCCTACTAAATTGGATACAGCAACAATCTTACATCCTCTTAAGCAATTAATCTGGGAATTGGGCTCTGCTTAAGCAGCTAGTCTACTTTCCTAATTTGAGCTAGTCCTGTGCCAAGATGCCATCTCACTGAGGTCACAGTTACCTCCATCACCACATCACCAGACCTATGCAAGGCTGCTGAGATGAAGAAACAGATTTGAAAAAAAAAAAAAAAAAAAAGGATATCAGGATATCAGCTGGACTTTCTGCAGGATTTGGGCAAACTGCAATTTAAAAAACAAAACAAAACCAGAACAAGACCAACCAAACAAAAAGGCCCTCAAAAACTTTAGACAGTATAAAGCAATGTCCAACTCCCTTATCTGAAAGCCTGTGTTGACAGAGCAGGAGAGCAGTATCTCTTCAGAGCACTGTGCTTGTGAAGGCTTCTACTGACACCACCTTGGAGACTTGATTAATACCTGTAGTCAGGAATGTTTTATATTTTCCTGTGAACATTTTTGACAAAATCTCAGAACTTTCCCTTCAACAATTTGTGAAGATGTTTCACTAGGAAGAAGTTATTTTTCTACTAAAAAGTTGCTTTTCTTAAGCACTTGACTATCTTCGGTGATTTCACCCCCATTTTAAGAACTGAAAACCAAAATATTTTAAAACATAGTCAAAATGAAAAGTGTTTGGTTTTGCTAATAATTTTTTAGTTGTCAAAAGGAAACTCTTTTGTACATGAAAAAACATGTAAACACTGGGTGAAAAAATCCCAAACCTGAACATTCCCATGAAGGATTTTACTTTTATGAAAATATCTTATTTTGCTAGAAAACTCTTTCCCACTGGTAGAAACTCCCTGGAAAGTATGCCAGCATGGTGCACACGCTCATCAGGACACCCAACTTTATAGTTTCCTGGGGTGGGCTGGGCCTGTGTCCTCTCGATCACGGAAAAATCTTAGAAGCTCTCTGAGAAGAGATTGCCTGGAAGTCCTAACCCACAAAAAGTGAGGGTCACTTTTCACAGGAGAGAGAGTAAGAGGGTAAAATTACTCAGCAGGGAAAACTAATCATATATTGAAAAACTGGGCAACACATCAGGTGAGTATTTTGGTAGCTTACAGGAGAGGCAGCCATAACCTTATGGAGTTACAGAATGCTTTGGGAGAGAATGCTCGTTTCTTCTAAAGCGTCTGATATTATGCTTCTCCTGCCCTGTCTGACAACACAATGAAATATGCTTTCTTTGCAGATTCATTAATGGTTTGAGTCAAGATGTCAACGTCACCATTGACAACAAACAGTTCATTGCTGTTCAGAAAAGCTACAGTGCTTCTGAGTACTCGCTGCTAGAGAGGGACAAGTAAGTTTCCCTTGCTGTGCTGAAGGTCCTTGCTGAGGCCTTTCCTTGAATACAATGGGGCTTTTCTCAGGCGAATAGAAAAACCTTCATTGCTATTGTCTTGGCATTTGACTGTGGGACTGTTTTTTATAAAAAACCAGATTTATCAGCTTTGTGCAGAGCAGGTCCTCCAGGCCATTCGTGTGTGTGCAAAAGCACCACGCACTTAGTCTGCAAAGTATCCAAGCCAAAGGACAGCAAATTAGTATCTCATTGTCTAATATGCAGTTGAATAGATTCAGCCTCCAAACAGTGTCTGGGATAGCTCCCTTCCTGTGGCTCTTACTGCTTTGGTAAGATAAAAACAGTAAGGACAAAGCTTAGAAACTTTATTCGCATGACATGAGTATAGCGATATTCTAATTTAGGCCATAATGTGGGTTTTCTCAGAGTCAGGTCAGGGGAATTTTGGAAATCAAAAAAACCTTTTGAAGAAGTCCATATATAGCACTTGATTTTCTCTCAGCTTTTATTCACATTATGTGGGAGCCTGGAGGGAAAAGACTGGCCATTCCTGTGCATCTGTCAGCAGAGTAAGGTGGGACATGGTGAAGACCTGTCTGCCATTTGATGCCTGCTCTATTTTGGTGTTCTCTCAGGCCCAAGATTTTAGTATTAGGGTGCTCTCAGGGAAAGACCAATTCATATTCCACACTACAAAGTGTTGGTATGTGGGCTGGTAGCATCAAGTAATGTTACATGGCTTTGCAGGCTGGGCTTGTTAGACAGGGGCTCCATATGGCCTTGGTTTGGCAGCATTGGAGTTGGCTCTTGTTGGGTGTTTCTGATGTTTGCAATGTTTCAAAACAAGCTTCATGGGTTTTCTATGCATCAGCTCCATCCAAAATATTTATTGCTACAATTTAGTAGGATGCAGCAGCCATTGTGGTAATGCTGCTGTGCTTCTGTGCCATCTCACACATCCAAAATCAGAAGAAATATGAAGGCTAATTTGCTCTACTGAAAGGAAACAAAGTGGCTTGTTGAAGCATATCTCTGATTTCCTGAAGGCTTCTTGAGCCTGGCTAACTTGTCTGGCCCACAGTTCCTGAAGGAGTGGAGGAAAGTTTGGAGGGAAAATAAACCTGATGGGGGGCAAAAAAAAAAATCAGTGCTAAGAAGAAGCAGAAACTGTTTTAAAATGTTAGCAATATCCCAGGTCATTAGGTGAACTCCAGCCAGTGCCCAAGTGTTTCTGGAAGGAAAACACAGCAAGAACTTTAGTGATCGTCTGACAAAAGCATTACTGCAGCATCATGTATCCTTCCTACTCCATTGTAGGGACATGTTTGATATCTCTGTTTTGCACTCTTTTGTTTGTGGGACTAACTTGGAAATACTGTATTTCACCATTGTATCTAGATATAATAATGGAAAATGCGTTACTGAAATGGGAGAATTCACACTGGAGCTAGGGCTGCTCGACTTCGGCGCGTCATACACCATTGCAATAACTAATGTAAGTGATGGTAACAAGCTCCTTCTGTTCTAGTCCCTGGCAGTGCTTTTGTTCTTATGTTTGTGACTCTCACTTGCTTTCTCCACCCTGTAAGACCTGGGCAGTAGCCAAATGAAGGCAGTCCCTTATACAAGAGCTAGTAAAAGGTTTTGGCACCTACATAAGCAAGGTAGGTGAGTACTCATTCGATTTTACACCATGATCTTGTTAGATCTCATGGGTTAAACAAGAAGTAAGATCTTTTCCATGGTTGAAATCCTTCATGGAAAATCATGTGACCTGTGGTTTGTTTTAGTCTCATGACACCCTTGTTCACTTAACATTGACCCAGCGCACTGCGAAGAGCTGACTCTGCTTGTGGTCTTTAAAATACTATACCTGGTAGTACCTCACACCTGAAAAACTTTGCAGAAACAGTCTGCTGTATCCTCACATTTAACTTACTGATCTAAAGGCTGATCTTCTAAGACTTGTGGATTATGCATGGGGGGAAGAGGGATAAAGTGTTGAGGGAGGAGATTGGTGAGATTGTGCATCTGTTTTTCCTCCTCTTGGTGTCTGTACAGCTCATTTGGATCCTGGTGTAAAGTCAAAGTCTGTTTTTTCTGAACAGCCTAGCCCTGGTGGGGTGTGAGCACTGCTGAGAGGGTGGATTCCTTTCCCTGCCTGCCAGCCTCTTAGGCACACTGCTCCAGCCCTGGTCCAGCTGGCAGAAGTTACGGAAATGAACGTGATCAGCTTAGTTCCCGTTTTAACCTTTCCATTGCACAGGCACACAGACAAACCAGGTCTGACAGGACACACTGCTAAGCTGCCCTCTGAGACTTTGACTACTGTGTTGTGATGAGCAGAGCAAAGTACTGTCAGCTACTCTCTGACAGTAACATCTCCCTGTTGGGCAATTAATGGGAGCTGTTCATGCCTGCAGAGTCCAAATACATAAGGGAAAAAATACAGCTGCAAAGCACCTGTCTTTTTTTTTTTTTTTTTAAATTCCAGTAGCTGGAGTGGGATGCACAGTCCTGGGGGGAACAGGCAGATGCTGCCATCTGTGAATGCAGAGATTTATGTACATAAAACACATACACACTTGAAGAGATGTTGGCCAGACCCTTCTGCCATGGCTGCAAGCCTCTTTTGCCAGATGGGAAACCAAGTAGAGAAGTTGCATGAAGAATATTACACTAAGAATATTGCCCTAGAGCCTCTGGTACCACAACCGAGTCAGGGCCAGTTGGGGTAGATGTGTCCCACATCACTGTGGGCAAAGATTCTAGTTTGTGGTCCAATCTACAAAAGTCCCTGCTGTAGCCATGGCTGCTTGGGGGTGGCTCTGTGCCTAAGCCCTTCTGGACCCTGTGCTAGTCCTTTAATCTTTTTGACCCTCTGTTTTGCTGTCTCTCTCCCTGTGGTTTCCTACTTCTGTAGAGAGTTAGTTTGCTCTAGGCCAAGATAATTTTTAATTATTGCAGTGATTTGTACTGAGCCCTGCTCCTCTGCCAGGAGTGCTATATAGAAGAACCAAGAATGCAATATATTAGTCTGCTAATGTGGCTGAACTGTGATACTTAAATCATGGGGATGCTGCCTTCTACCCAGCCTTCCTCAGTGTGCAGTTATAGTATGGTGCTTGTGACATTTCTTTATGGGCTAAGGAGCAATGCGCAGCTCTCCTCTCACCCCTTTTAGCCTGCTAAAATATAGTCTCTTGATTTGCCTCCCTGCATGGTGATTAAGTACATCTCGTAAACATCCCTTGTATTTTCCCAAGTACTCTCTGTAAACACGGGGTTTTCAGCCTGAAGTAATTTCAGCCTAGTGTTTTCCTGGCTACTAGTCAAAACTCTCTCTGCCTCTTTGTATCAGAGTCAGTATTAATTACACCTGGGAAAGCAAACAAAAAGAATGAGGAATAAGGCTGCCATAATGATCTGAATACATCTGATATGGGGCAGTTACTTCTACTCTTGGTGTTCCTGAACTGGACTTGTTTGGGTGTCACTGTTACAGTAGGGGAGTTGTACAGTGCTGATGAAATGGGAGCAGTGGCCACATGGCTGCAATGAACATTTATCCTCTCATCTTCTTCTGGCCCTGGGGACAGCAGCATGTCACAGGCTCTGCACAAGTAGCACACAGGCTTTTCCCAGCCTCACTACAGAAGGCAACTTGTTGGTTTACAATAACTCATGCAACACTTGCAGAATATGAATGAACTGGGATGCTTCCATCCTGCCACCTCTGCCCTGTGCAGTAGGAGTCAACCCATTCCCAACAGGCTTGGAAATGGCAGGGGTCAGACCCAGAGTTTTGCTTCCAGGGCAGAGCTTTTCTTCTGCCTTTACTTAAAACTTTTTGTTTTGTAAAATTTCTGTTGGAGTCTAGGCTGAGAAGAATCTGATCTTTGAGCAGTTACTCAGTGTGCCTTTTCCTGCTAGGTTTCTGAAGGTGCTGTTAAGACATGGAAGTCAGAAGACATCAGAGCCAACAATGTCCATATGGCTTGGCAGTTACCACAATATTTACTAATATCTGCTGGGGAGGTGATGTTCTCCATTACAGGTCTGGCCTTCTCCTATTCTCAGGTACTCCACTTAAAGATTAGACTTTAGATTAGGTTTACAATTAGACTTCAAGATTTATTCCTGCATCTGCCATATGTCCTTTGGCATGACACTTACTGACAATGTTATCTGTGGTTCAGCTAAAAGTGGGATTATAACATGGTTTGCTGAGTACCCTCAAGCTAAATTAATTCGTGCTCTAAAGATACTGGTTCTCAATTATACCCTGGAAGCTCCTGTTCTGATAAAGCTGAGAACAGAACAGAATTGGATAGAGGCTTACTTGAATATGAAAGCTCTGAATACTGTAATATCAGGTTTTTCTCCCAGTGAAATATTTCATGGTATGTATTTTCCAGTGATAAAAAGGCCAAGGTATCTTGAGGACCTTGGCATGGTGGCATGGGGGGCTTGGAACCTGCTTTAAGATGAGAGTCTGAAGGGGTCTAAGTGTGCACAAGTCTATAAAAAGAGAGCAAGGGGTAGGAAGTGTGCAAGGGATGATTTGATTATTGTCTGGGAAGGTTTATGAGAAGAGAGGACTGAGACATTATAAGGTCAAAAAGCTGAAGCTACTCCAATTTATCCTGGGAGTAAAATGCAGGTGTTTATTAATAAGAGTGATTAATACAGTGGGATGATCTGTCATGTGATCTGGAAAATTTGTCATCAGCAGGAAGTTTAACATCAAGATCCAGTCTCTTTTTCAAAGGTGTATAGCCACATGGCACCAGTCTCCAAGCTGCAGGGCTTGTTGTGCGGCTCCTTGAACTTTCTGATTGTACAATTTCAGATGATGCAGGTTGGGGATGATCAGGATCCAGCTCTGCAACAACTGCATCTCCTCTTTCTTCATGTGTCCTCCTGGAGGACACGTTTTGAAAGCGCCTTGTATGCAGCTGTTGAAATTAACTACAGAGGAGAATCTGCACAGAGGAAATTCCACCATCTCCTCCTAGGCTGAGCCCAATGATGCTTACATTAGACAGGACATCACAGGGTGAACCAGGGCAGAAGAGCACAGTGTGATACCCTCTGACCAGGCCCTTTTCCTCTTTTCAGTCTCCGGCCAGCATGAAGTCGGTGCTGCAGGCAGGCTGGCTGCTCACAGTGGCTGTTGGGAATACCCTTGTGCTCGTTGTTGCACAGGCTGCACCAATGGCACAGGTATGGTTCTGCTCTTAAAACAGAGGTAATGTTTTAAAACAGGCCTGAGCCTGTATGGTGCTTCTGGATGTCTGTGTCCTGGAGGCACAGCTTCTCTGCACAGCCCCAGGCTCCTGCACTGGAATGATGGCAGGCGGCACCCCAGCCAGTGCTCTGTGTTGCCCTCAGGAGCAATGGCTCTCCCCAGGCCTCCCAGTGGCAGTAAATAATAGTGACCTGCACTGCAGTAACGTTGCTGGGGCTCAGCTCTAGGCAAGCAGGCTGTATTTAGGCCTGGAGCCTGGACATGACACCAGCCACGCATTGCAGTTGCTTACCGAAAGCTGCTTGCCCTCATCCAGCTAGCCCAGTGGGCAGGTAAGCCTCCTCAAGCGTCTAGTTTGGGACTCCTTCAAGGGCTGCCTGTGGCACCCCTGAGATGTCAGGCTTGCATGGGGAGGTTGTGGGGCAGAGCTTGTTTAATTCAGGCTATCAGACTTCTGGGATGATGGCATGAAGGTGTGAAATGGGGCTCATTTCTGTCTAACATGAAACTGCTTCTCCCAAAGGCATCTTGTGTGCAAAGAGCCCAGGCAGGCATGTTCCAGTCAGGACAGATTTGTAAAAAAAGATCTAATGAACCTAGGCCAATCTAACTGGTTGTTTCAAGGTATATCACATATTCATAATTACATTATTTGTACATGGATTTATCAGAAAACAGGATGAGAAAGTTTCTATCTTGTGAGGAGTCCCAGAAGCTAAAAAGAAATTTTCACCCAGCTCTTTAAAAAAGCACTTGAAAATGCAGAGAAATCCTCTGGACTGAGGGTCTGGGGTCACCTGACCTGCTGTTCTTTTTTCTTTCCTAGTGGGCTGAATTTGTCTTGTTCACTGTTCTCCTCTTTGCTGTGTGCATTATTTTCTCCATCATGGGATATTTCTATGTCAGTGTGGATCCAGAGGACCTAGAAGAAAAGGAAGAGAAGAAAGAGACCTCAAGCAGAGGAAACATGATTAGTCTTGTTACTAAGAAAACAAAGCTCTAACACATGGGTTGGGATTTTTTTTTTTTTAAACTCAGTAGATGGGAGGGTAAAAGAAGGGTGGGGATAGTATTATTTTATACTACAACATTGCAGTCTTTATTACTCAAAATGTAGCTACCTTCTAAATGGGACCAAATAGCCCTCTGTAAAAACAATGGGGGTCCTGAAATCAGAGCAAAACTCCCTGGGAAAGCTCCTCTGGTATTAAAAGCCCTTGTAAGTAAATACAGTGTAATTTAAAACCTGCCTGTCTTTTAAAACATGGAATGCTTTCCTATGATTTTGTTTTAAACATATATTTAGGGCAGCAGGGAGGAAGGGTAGAAGGAATGCCATAAGACAGCAAAATTTGGAGATGTTTGGAGAAAAGAATTAAAACCCAGTATAAGAATTGGGGAAGAATAGATGTTACCGACAGAAGAATTTTTAATGCTATCATCAAGGACTGGAAGTGTTACACAGAATCCCAGAGGATTTAATAATGTAATTCTCCTTATGAGTATTTCACCCCATTATTGCATGTTATGAATGGTCTTGATTTATGACTTTCACCTGCAGACTCAGAAGTAATAACAGGGAATTAAATTCTGCTGGCTAAAATATTCCCAAAACACTACTGAAGAAGATATGTATGCTACCAGCTCTGTGATACCCATTTTTTCCTAGAAGTTTTTAGCAACTGATGGTATTTTTTGATTAGATGTGATTAGAGAATTGGTTTACGCTTTCTTATTTCAGAAATCCAGGCAGTTATTTGCCATGCTCCTATATATTAAGCCTTTATTGGGCATTTCCTTTTAGAGCACCTGCCACTGCAAGTTAGGATATGGGTGATTTCTTATCTCATGTTTCAGCTATTCCCCACTGGGAGACACGTTGCAGCAGTTTCTATAAAGTTCCAGGCATCCTGCAGTGTGTTAAACAAGGATGCACTTTATCATTTTTTTCAGTCTACAAAAGGAGACTATGGCACAGGAAATTTTTCTTTTTCCTCCCTGCTTCTCTGTCTCTCTGCCAAACTTTGGATATAGGTATTTTGTTTGACTTGTGATATAATTGTTTGATTTTCCTCACTTGCGTGAAGCTGCGATTTCATGTTCTGCGTGGAAGTAATTCAACCATTGCTGATCTAATAGAACTCCTGAGAGAGTCCCTGCCTTCCTCTGTCGCTCCAAGGCTGCAGTTGTAACAGGTACGGCCTAATTTACAGCAAGGTTGTCAATAGGATCTTCAGGTCACAGAGAATAGATCTTAAATGATGCTTCCCTTTTCCATCTTGGCATTGACCATAGGTGGTTGCTGATGCTTTGATTCAGGAGATCATGAAATGCATGTTTAATTTAATTCCTGTTCAGGACAGTGCTAGGGAATAGGCTTAGCTTGACACTTTTTCTGCTTTAATATGCTGCCTTGTGTGTGTGTGTCTTTTTGACTAAGACTGAGAAAACCCCACTTTTTAGTTTATAACTGGAAGACTCACACCCTCAAATTGTTTTCTTTGCTTCCTGTTGTAAATGGTCATGAACTTCCACCACTAGTTCTGCATAAGCTCCTGCCTGCTGTGAAATAACGTCTGGGTCTTGTGCCAGAGGGGGACCGTGGTCTCAGATAAATGACAACAGGCTGCGGGTGTGCACACAGAAACACTTAATGTGGTTCAGTTGATGCAGAGCCATTTATTAAGCTGTGGTGGCTGGATCCAGGCAGCTGAACCCTGCTACGCAGCAGGGAATGAAGGGCATTGAAAGCCATCTATTAGGTCATCCAACCTGCTCTTCAGAAGCCGAGTGAGGATTATTCCCTCCGCTCCTTTCTGGTATTGTTGTCCTGCCATGATTCTTTGTGTGGGTTCTTTCTCCTTCAGGCATTGTTGTTTTCCTAATCCTGTTTTATGATACACTGTGAATCAGCTCAGAGGCTGCTGAATCATTCTGCTATGATGCTGTTTGACCAGTTTCCAATCTGAAGCACTAATAGAGAGCATTTCGTCCTCCCCCCTGCAAACAAAACAAAAATCCCCATACTGAAGGAATGGACTGGCTCCAGTAGCACTGAACAAACATAATTTAGAATTATTGGAGCATTTAATTTTTTATAAGCCTTGAATTTGGAAGTATGTTGGGGTTTGAGGGCATATGTGGTGAAGAGACAATTGAAAATTATTGGAGCACTTTACTTGGGAAGCACTTGGTACATCACAGCTCAAAGTGGCATGAGGGAAAGCAAGGTGTCCAGAGGACACAATCTTTAAGACTACATATGCTCAAGAATCTCTTGAGTTTTATGTTTTATTTCCCTACTGGCGGCACTACCAGAAGCTGTCACACACTCTGAGCTTAATTTAAAGGAATCATTCCAAACTCATAAAAGATACATTTAGGATGTCATCTGTATCTGCTTTTTAGACTCCTGATGCCAAATTGCCCCTTTCCAAACATCACCGTGTTCCAAACCATCGCCATAATGCTGGGGGGAGAAAAATTGCAATTCACAGTTGGGAAGGTTATGAACAGGAAGGCAATGCTATGAATAAAGTGCTAACATGAGGCTGGGGGCTGCTCCTGCAGCCCCTCTGGGGAATTGCTTGCCCAGGGGAGTGTAAGGCTCTGTTCACATTTCCCTTTCAGCTGACACTGTTACTTCTTCCCACCTGCTCATCATCACCTATTGGAATTTTTGTCTTCCCCCAATCTGCCTGTTTGGTTGCTGGTGTGATCCTTCCCCACTGTTTCAGCTGCAGTTGTAAAGCTTTGCTAATTGGACCCATTTATTTGAAAGGCACTAGCAGTTTGGATGGATTTCCAGTGGGCATTCCACTGGAGAAGATGGCAAAATAGCACATTCAGCATAGCACTTCTCCAGTTTTAGAGCCACAATTCCATCCCCAGAGCTCCTCAGTCATTTTCAAGTTTACTCAAGACTGGATCAAAGATTTAGGACCTGATTCTGTGGAGTATTGAGGTCTCTGGGTTTTTCTTCCATAGGGCCAGCTCAGAGATGGGGCCGTGTACAGCTATTAACACCCAATTTTAGAACAATATTCCTTATTCCTCCTGATTTTTTGATTTGGGATTAGAGGGAGAAGCTAAAATAGTGATAGTATACGTAAAGCTATGTGGACTTCTGTAGAGAAATAGCAGCCTGCTGTCTGTCCAGCTTTGCCCGTCACTGAAGGGAGTCTCAGCTGTTGGTTGAGTTTGTCCTGGAGCAGATTAGGGAAAGTTCACACCAGCTGCTTTGAAGGCTGACCTACAGAATTTACCACTTCCAGCTAAGGGACGGTAATGAGCTGGTGGGGATCTATAGGTATGTTGCTGCACAAGCCTTCATGGAGATTGCAGGGGTTTGACTTCACTGTGGAAATATGTGTATTTATCTGTTTTTCTGAAGGATGCTTTCTGATAAAGATTTTTTGTGCAGCAAATTTTCCTTCAGTTGCGCTGGCTGATACTCAACACATTTTCCCCCTTAGCGGGTTGTAAGTGTGGCCAGTGTAATTTTCAGCTTTCCATGAGATAATCATAAAAATGAGATTTCAAACTCAGCAAAACAACTTCTTGGCTGTGGGTTTGTTAAATTTACCTCTTCATTGTGAGGCAGTCGAATGCCTTTTGGTATCAAGCTGCTCTGTGCAGCTCAAGGGGCTTGCATCTCTCTTTTCTTCCCACTCCCTTTCCCCACAGTCCCAGATGATGAGTTTTGGAGGATTCCAGAGGATGAGCCCTGAGAAGGCTGCAAGGGACTGGCTCGGATGCAGCTGGTGTGTGCTGTCAGCCCTGGGGCTGGGCAAGGTAGCCTGGGGCAGAGCTTGCCCTGGTAGAAGACATGGTTTTCTTGAGCAGTGATCAGGATGTGAGTTTTATTGTGAAAGTGAAACGTGAGCAAGTGAAAGGAAAAGTTTTCACCGGCCTTGCCTTTGGCCTGAGGGGCTGTGCAAAGAGGCTGGAGACTGCTGGGCAGGAAGGAAAGAAAGGGCTATTTGGTCACGATCTTCCCAACTCCTCAATGAACAGCTGAAATTCCCACATCGAATTGATTGGAGAGAAGATGAGATGGGAGAAATGGAAAACTCAGATAATTAAATAGTGGATGACTTCAGACCTTTCAGAAAAGTTCCTAACTAGTAGCAAGGGGCCATTGGGGGAGTTAGTCGCTCCTGGCTTGAAAACTGGTTCATCATTCCAGAGTTTTGCAAAAACCAGCATACAGACCTTTGTTGGTGGGTCTGCAGTGACTGGAGGAGGAGGCAGCTGTGCTCCTGGTAACGCCTCCACAATCTATGGCAACCACCACCTTAGCTTGGGACAGAAAAAAACAGCTGAAGGTGTATCACAGACGAGAGTAACACAGAAGGGAGAGCTACATTTTAGGGGTAGCTAACAGGTGGTTTTAGCCAGGGTCATACACAGAGGAATAATCTCCTTTTCAATCTGTGTTGAATTTCTCTGCCTAGCTACAAGAAGCACTTTGTAGCACCAGCAGTTTAAACCTGGGAGTTCAGCTCCATGGCAAACACCACAGCTGCTGAATTTTGGATGGTACCAGTCTCTGCATTTCATTATCACTACATTTGTTATTGTGATATAATTTTAAAACAGCATTTAGGAGATGTTTCTGGTCCCAGATGTTGACAGATCTGGACAGGGTTTTGCATGTTGATAGCTGGATTTACTCTTGTCTTTCATGTGAACATGTGAGATAAACCTGTCATGTACAAGTAGATGTTGCAGGGCCTTTGGATTTCCCCAGCAATTTAGAAAAAAACCCCAAATCCCTGGTGAAGCTGGCTAAGCATGAACTGTGGCATTACTTCCTTGTCAGAGCCACCCACGTGCTTTGTAAAGCAGGGACCCTCATTCATCTCTTGCGAGGTGCTTCCCAGGAAGACAAAAATGGGGGATACCATTAAACATTTTGCCCTGAGAAGGGCTCGTGCTGCAATACAGAAATTGCATTGAAGGAGAATAATTGCTTTGCTTAAAATCCCTCCTTTCTCACCATCTCAGGTGGTCAACAAGGAATGAAACAAGTTGTTTCTTAGTGAGCTTTCAGTCAAGGAGCTGCTGCATCTTCTCAAGGTCTTTCTATGCTGTGTTTCACCAGCAGATCAACATTTACCTGCCTTTAGTACCTGTAGATCAGGAGGTTGCCAGGATGCAGTGCAGCCACACTGCAGGCTCCCACTATCAGCTGATCAACTCCGATCTCTTCATTTTTAATGAATAGTTTTAGCGGTTATCCTGCAGGGCTCAGTCAGAATTTGTCTAAATTTAGGCAAAAACTAAAGATCTGAGAGAACTGTAATCAACAAGATAAATGCAAAACTCTCAAAAAACCTGCTAAAACACTGGTTTAGTGCTTAATTAAAATTTTAATATGCTTACAGAAAATAAAAACCTAAACCAGAATGTAGCAATTCAGTTGGAGTAATGAGGAGCTGCAGTTGGAATCCAGCAGCGTGGCAACTGGCAGCCAAACTGAAGACACAAAAATCAAGCAAACATCACTTTTTAGATTATTTTTTGTCATTGCATATGTTGTTCAGTCTGCTTGGCCTGTCCTGTTCAATCTACCCATGTGTCTAAGGAAAAAGGAGTCGAACTGACTTGTGGAAGAGATGTACCCCTCCCAAGCTGCAGTTTGGTTTTCCTTTTGTTGCAGACTCCCAAGTTAGCTCCAAATGACTCCTCTCACTAGCAGTCAGCCCCCTCAGTCCCACATGCTGAGCTTCCCTCCCCAGAAGTCACTCAGACTTCTCCCTGGTGACTTTGCCAGCCCTCAGCACCTTGCTCATTCTTCTTCTCATGCAGCCTCTCTGCTGCCAGGGACAGTGTGTCCTGCTGGGGGTTGTCCTGGGTAATGCTGCCTGCTTTCCTGCAGACAGAAAAACTTCTCACCCATGGGACTACTGTGTCTGAGCAGAAATCATGCAGAGCCAAATATTTGGGTGGTAACAGGGCATCTTCCCTGGTTTGCTTTGGCTCTGCTTCTTGTCACAGCCTCGTATGATCTGATGCATCTTCTGTAGGCAAATTGGTTCAGAAGCACTGGGGTAATCCAGCATCTCTGTGTGTCCCTCCAGTCTATCCTGTGCCCAGTCAGTTGCCCACAGTCAGCCCTTGTGTTGTGCCATGTCAAGCTACAGGAACTTCTGGACCAAAACACTACTGTTACCAGCCATGGGGGGTCCGTTTGTGCTGCCTGTGGCCTCAGCCTGCTTTACTTGGCCTTTTCTTATACATTACTTATGGTCAGGCTGCTCCTTCCAGCCTCCCGCTTGTGCTGGAGGCTCTGGACACCTCCCCTGCCAGACAGATTGTGAGTCTTTCTCTTGCAGAGAAGTAGGAGAAAGTCACTTGGTTCGTGTTCGTCACAGCACTAGTGTGTGGTCAGTGGGCTGCATCTGCAACCACAGATGTCCCATCAGTGTGGACGAGGCAGCTGGTGAAATGGGGCCGGCTCCTCTGCCAGCAGTGCTGGCACAGGGACTGCTGGTGTCAGTAGGACTGGCTCTGTGGCCTTCCCAGACTTGACTGGGCTGTTTTAAAATCCAGTGTCAATGTTTTACTGGAAGACCTGTGTTATTACCATGATGCTGCTAGCCTTCAGCTTCTGAACCTGCTGGGCGAGGAGCAGCAGGCTGTGTTCCCGGGCAGAGCTGTTCCTCCTGACGCAGGGACCTGTGCCGGTGCTGCTCGCCCATGGTGGGGCACTTTCTGCTCCTTCTTCATCTACTTGACCAGCTCCAGTGACCAGGCCTCGGGTAATGGGTATCTCCCAGACCTCGCTGTGTTATGTGCCCACCCACAAGGGATGTTTCTTCGAGTGGAAGTCAGTTTGGTTCCTTTGAGCTCCGATTGCCCAAATCTGCCTGGAGCCTTTGTTCAGGCTCTTTCCCTGTTTAACCTGTGCATCAAAACACTTTCCAAATAGGCCTTCATGCTGTCCTCACTGAAGGCAGAAACCTCTCAAAGGTGCTGTGCCAATATGGATTTTTCCTGCCTAAGTTGGAGGTGAAACAAGCCAGCAGGAATTCAGCAGGCGCCAGGAGCTGCTGCCTTTCAAAAACGCAAGTTGCTGTCAGTCACAGTGGCTCCCGACATGCGAGGCCATGCAGTCCAGCTCCTGCTGTGCCCTGAGCTCAGCAGAGGCCAGCGGATGCTCAGATGCCTCTCTGGGGGTGGCAGCTCACAGGTCCCAGCACTGGCTACCCCACCTATGTGCCATTCATGGTCTGTCAATGCCAGCTTTGCTTCCTGACACTTCATACAGCCCAAAACCTGCAGAGCAAAGAGAAGAAAGTTCCCTCTTTCCACAAACTGTATTTAATTTGCATTTCCCCCCTCCTTTCTCATTCACAGCCAGTGTCGTTAGCTGCCCTGTTATTTCAGGGCTGGCCAAGGGAGCTGTGCAGTCCCCACATCTCATCGCTTCCTTGGAGAAAGGAGAGGTCGAGCCTCTCCCACTCTGCCCACCCACGAGCATCTTCCTGGAAGCTCTCCTCAAATTCAGGTCCCCCACTCCTCCAGAGAGCACTTCCCTCATGAGACCAGTGATTTGACATGTTTTTAACCAGCCAGGCTCTTTGTAGGGATTAGCCAGCCTGGGTAATATTTGCGTTTCACCCTTTGCTGTCTGCTGGCTGTGGCTTTACTTTTGGAGCTAATGTCACTGTTTTTCTTTCCCCCCTGCAAAGCTTGTCCTGAGCACCTGCACTCTATGTATAGAATAACTAAATGGCCTTGCATGTTCGAAGGCAGATTAGTCCCTCTATCTTCTACCAAAACTTTGACAGTGTCATGAAGAAACTCTCTGCTCTAATGGTGCCAGCATAGTCCTTTACATCCCTACTGGATCCCTTCTTTGGCCCTTCTTTGCACCATCATTTCGTACATGCTGGTTAAAACCAAAGGGCTTGTACTTAATTTCTCACACCCTGCAGCACTCCTCAAGCTTCTGTAATGCAGGCTCTGAGTTCCCTCTTCTGTTTGAGCTGAAAACTATTAAAAGCTGTTGAGAGCTTCAGTACCAGCTGTTTTTTGTCTAGTAAAGTTTTTTTTTTTTTCCAGATTTTTTACTGTGTTCACATCCATCCCTTACAACTACGGAATGAAACACTACTCTTGTCTTTTCCTGTCAACCTTCACTTTTGTGAACAAGGTTGGGCTTTTAGCTTTTCCATAAAAACCTTATCTTCAGTGCCTTTAGTCCTAATGCTGTTGATTGTTCAGCATCCCTTGAAGCTAGGGATTTGGGCTCCTTCCTTTGGGTTTTTGCTTCTGTCTGCTCAGCATTTCTTAGCTGGTGTCACTGTACCACACCACCTGGGGCCCGTTGACCTACTGGGCTGAAAAGGACCAGAAAAGTCATCCCAGTGGTTTAAAAAGATGTACCTAGACTGAACCTGCTCAACTCTGAAAGTTTTCAGCGCTTTTTCAGATTGTTAGAGGAAGAGCAGGCACTTTTCCGTGTAGGGGTGTGCTCTCATGCCTGCTGTGTCCTGCTCTGGCTGCGCGGGGACGCTGCCAGGTCAGCGCAGCTCTGCCATCCCTGGTGCTTTGCTCCTTGCTTCCCCCTGGCTCTGTGTTTTCTGGCTTGAATTCATCTGTTCTGGTCCTCTTTTTGGTAGGTCTCTCACAGTAGTGATATTCACTCTGAGGGCCCCATTGGCTCCAACAAGTTATCTGACCAGTCTCATGATGTTACTTGTGGTGACGCCCATCACAGGGTTTATTTTGCCTTTTCAGTCTCCACTGTTGTTCCCGTTTTCTGCTGTGGTTTCTATTGATTGTCAAGCTCTTGCCAATTTTGTCTTCCTCATCATGGCTAACCATTATCAATGCTGTGCTTGGAGTGCAAGTGCCCTTCACGCCACAGATCTGCAAGCTAAGTAAACTTAGCAAATCATTAGGGCAGACTTTGACCGCTCCTGTCTCCATCAAAGACTGGGATTAAATTAGGTCCCTTTGATAAACTGAGCTGATGGGCCAATTTGGATTGCACGTGTGGTATTATGAGTCTCACGGGGCTTATGATTAAAGACATAAGAGAATGCAATTATTTAGAGAGCTACTGGTAGATTGCTGTAACTCACTAGTCACTTTATCAGAACAAAAGAAGATCCCAATTCTGCAGGGTGGCAGGCAGCTCCTGGGAAGTGTCTGTGAGCCTCTAATTGCTGGGGGAGGTGAGAGTTGTGTTTATCTCCTGCAGATGTGCATGATAACACTGCTGGGGGGGGGGGCGAACGCCACTCCAACCATTTCAGTCCCCAAGGCACTTGCTCCAGGAGTGAAACCTTTCACACAGCTGCCTTCTTCATCTCTTTCTACAGTTGCTTGTGGTTTTTTTCCCCCATAAACTGCAGTTGGCTTTGCAGCAAGGTAGAGGTCAGCTGGGTTTCTTTACTGGACTCTAATCGAATCCTGACCTGCCCAGGGAGCTCAGTGCAATCTAGGCTGACTCCCTGCACCAAATCTTCAAGCCTGGGGCTGGATCCTGACCCGGTAGGAAGAGCTCTGTTATTTTAGGCTCTGCATCAGGCCCTGAAGATGAGAAATGTCTGACTGGACACAAATACAATTTTGCCTGTTTTTTTCTCTCAGGTTACTGAGTCAGAGCTGGATGGCATATGTAATTGTAGTAGGGCTATTCTTCTCTCTTATTTTTTTAAAAGGAACATTCATGCTGTGCTTTAATTACAACATTTAGAATATGTCCAAATAGCTTGAGCTCAAATTGATCTTGTTTTTCAGCCAGGAAGGTTGTTTTTCATCTATTATAATAATAAATGTGCTATTGATAATAATTTAGGTGCAATACAGCAAAGCTTTGTGTTATGCATCAGCTCTGGAAGGCCAAATTTTCCTTATTATCCGTTATTGATATGACAGTTTGCAAATATTTAACAAACAAATTACCAGCTTTCCCTTGTTCCCCTCTTCGTTTTCAATCTCAGTCTTTTTGACAGCTGAATTCAGGATTAATGACAATCTTGTTTAAGACAATTGTTTGCTAGCAGGTTTATTCTTTAAACCTACAAGTGCAGTAGGAGAACTGGCACTGGCACTTTGAATTAAATCTCATCCTTGAAGCAAATTTTTTAGCTTTATTCCCTCTGATTCTCCTAAGTAGAAATCGGATTTGCCTGCTAAAGTGCTTAGACCTGTTATTAATTTCTTGGTTTATGTAGTCAATTTAAATATAGAAGCTCAACATATGAGGGGTTGGCAAAAGGAGCTGTTTTTCTCTCCCAGCCCGGAGCTTGCTGGGCCTGTTCAGATTCTAAGTGCTTTAAGAGACAGGTCCTCTCTGAGCACAAGCATGGGAGCAAGGAGACCACCTTGAGCCTCCATAGAAAAGAGAGATCTAGAACAACATGCTGGACTTGGTCCTCAATAAAGCACTGGAGGCAGCACTGGGAAACATGCAGTCCAGGCCTGGGACTGGTAAAACACATCCATGCTCTGCAGCAGCTTCCTCCCTGCCTGCTCCGGGTCTGAGCACAGGGTAAAGGGAAGGGAAAGGGCTAAAGTGCCAACATCTGCCTGGGAAGGTTGTTTCTCATGTAGATGGCTGCAGGTGAAACAAGGAGGGTGCTACACCCCGTGGCAAAGCCTGATGCATCCCCCAGCTGGATCAGGGGCATCTCCTGGGGGAAAACACAGCACCAGAATAGAGACTCAAAGAAAACGTGAAGCACCCCCTTTGGAGCACGTGCAGGGCACTGGGCCATTTCTGCCCTGCGGTTTCTGACCGTAGGCTTTGCATACACAATACAGGAATTCACTAGTGTGTAAGCCAGGCTTTGGAGATGAGAAGTGAGTTTGTTCTCAAGTAAAATCACCTTTTGTTAGCAGAAAATCTGAGAGTTGGGTTCCCCAAGGGAACAGTGTTTGAAAATCACAGGTGATTAAATGATAACACATTAGAGAGGTTTTTGGGGGGGTTGGTTGTTTTTTTGTGGAGGTTTTTTTTGTCTGTTTGCCTTTTGGATTTGGGAAGGTGGATGCTGTACATAAATTTCTCTACAACTGACCTGGCCGCAAACTTTTTGTTTTAATGCAAGAAAATCGGAGACTTTCCTTAAAAGAGAAGCCCCCCAGGAGTTCTAAAATACTAAATGTCACACCAGCAAAAATTACTAAAGCTGGTAACTCCGAGTGTAGCATATCACATTGGTCTTAAGCAAAAATAAGCCAAATCAAACAAGACTTGATGGAACAGAATAAAAGCAGGCCAGCACGACAGCTTGGCTTGAAACAATGTATTAATAGAGAGTGTTTCTTCATTACTTTTTATTTGATAACCAGTAAAACCACAGACTCGTGGGGAACACAGTTTGTATGTGCCCTCTGCTAGTTGCCCTGCCCTGTTTGCAATGTAAGCACTCATTACTCAGTTCCCTTGGAACTAGCGGTGGCCAGCGGGGAGAGGGGCACAGCTGTGTAGTTTAGCATGTCTGCACGTGTGTTTTCAATGCTGCAATAAACCCCACTATATAGGCATTTTAGCCTGGTATTTAAGCCTTCATCTCACTTCTTTTTAAGGCTTGCTTAGCACTTTTCCAGTTGATTGATGCAGCATCAATCACAGTAATATGCCAGCTATGATGTTCCCATTAATAACTACCAAGGAGCCGGGTGGCTCAGGGCCCTGAGCTGAGCACGGGCATTTTCTCTGCGAATGCCAGGGGGATTTGCTGACCACGGCAACTTGCAGATGTGTGGGGAAGCAGCAAGAAACTGACCATCATTTGGTCCCCAAGCATCTCCCAGCTTGGGAATATGCCTATTGATGTGGTTACATTTTCAGCCGTCTTCTGCTGTTGGGGGTTAAGACTTTGAGAAAAAACTGCCTTACATGCAAGCTTGTGAAGTGCAGCTACCAGCTGGACACACCAAGGATAAACAGGCTCCAATTACTTGCTTCACTTACACCAACTGCCATGTATTACAAATCAAACCAGCCACAAGGAACCAAACTATTAAGCTGCTTTCTCATAATCATTAATTATGAAGATACCATCACTCATTTTTGTAATCTACGAACTGTCCTGTGATAACTGATTTTTTTTTTTACTTCAGTGAATTGTGATGGTGAGGCTGCAAACAATTTTGGCAAGCGATTCCTGCGGGGACTCACTCCTGCAGGTCTGAGCTGGTGAAACTCCCTTTTTGTGGCACAAAGCCAAAACAGTGACCTTGCGGGAGCAGATTTACATTCCTCCCATCCTGCTGGCCACCCTTCCCAGTCTGGGAAAAGCCCAACCTAAATGTGTTCTGTTTAGATGGTCTGGCAGGGGAAGTCCAGGCAAGCATTTGATACCCTGACAGTCAATTTAAGGAGAAGTTTTCAGGCCAAGAGGGTGTCACCCCAACGACATGTTGGCATGTTGAACACCCCAAAACTTTGCTGGGATCCATCAGTCTGGGCATTAATTTCCCCTCTTCTGCTTTGCCATCTCTAATGTGTTTATTCTCAGTGTGGCAGTGCAGTGAGAGGAACTCTTATCCCCTTCCCAGAGCAAAGGCAGCAGGTATGGGGCAAAATACTTCTTCAGGCCTTCCCCAACTCATCCTGCTGGCATTTAGCCCTCCCTACCCGTTTCTGCCCTTTCATGCTGCTGGGAAGGGCAGCAAAATGGTTCAGAAGAGGAAAAAGCCTCCAAAGTTGCTCATCCCACCAGGGTCACTTGCTGCCCAGGTTACCCACGGTCTGGTGGCTGAGTTACCAATGGCACTTGCTATCAGCATCTGGGACTGTCTTGCCCTATTTTCTCCCTAACTGCTTTCTAGACAGATGTCTTCCAGCTGGTCAGTCTCCTCAGATGTGCACGTGAGTCCATGCATGTGATCAGATCACTGATAAATGTTCCACAACCATCTCTCAAATCTCCCCAACCACACCTTCCATGAGATATTGACGAATGAGATCTTTATTGGCTGATGGGCTAATTAAATAGAAGTTGCATCAGCTTCTAGCTGACAGGCTCTAATTGCTCCTGAGCAGATTTTGAGAGGACCGGATGAATAGGAAAATAAAAGGAAAGACTGTGGATTAGATCCAAGAATGTATCTGACTGCATCCTGGTTCAGACAAGCTGGAAGTTTGTCCCCCCTTTCCCTCCGGAACGGGGACAGGGCAGGGTGATCCTGTGCTGTGAGAGCACACAGGGAGGTACTGTCAGAAAAGCCAAAATTAAGGTAGATAACAAAAAGGAGAAAATAGTATCCTGGTTTTAGATAAGAATTTCTGAAGTATTATCTTCGCTTCAGTCTCTGGCTTTGGCTTTGAGCAGCCAATACCCATTGCTCTGTGCTCCCGTTTCCCGTCTGTCACACAGGACTAACAATGCCTGCTGCAGAGTGCTGAACTGTCTCAGATGCTCTGGCACCACATGAATCCATGAGCCTGTTTTGTTTTTTTTTTTTTTTAACTCCTGTTGCCTTGAAGTCCAAAGACTACAAAAGGGGTGTCAGCAGCACCCACAGCTGAGCCCAGCCCTGTGAAGCCCTGCTGAAGACTTAGGAGAAGGATGCTCCTCTCCAGCAACAAGGATGTTGGGACCTTGAGCGTGGCCCTTCGTGGTGCACAGTCCTTTGAAGACGAGAGGTGCTGCATGTGTGCAACACTGCCAGCAAGGGGTGCGAAGCCCTCTTGGCTTCTTGCTGCTCTTCTCCCTTGAGGGAATAAGGCCAGAGTCCGATTTGCTTCTCTTCTCCAGGCTCCTGCCTAAACCTCTAAGTGAGGAGTGTGGATGGTTCAACAGGAGAGTCGCTAACAGCAGAAGTTGCTGGACACCCAAGTTTTGGGTTAGTCCAGCACAGAGCTGGACGTGGTACAGAGTAAATCCTGGCATTGAAAAAATTAACCGAAATTAATGGCCAAGCCCTCATTGACTTCAGTGGTGTCATGTTTTCCCCAGTGGACTCTGTGGGCTAATATCTGGGCATATCCAGCTTAAGAGGCTTGCCCCATGTTTAATTTATGGGGTGATGAATGAGTTCTTAGCATACAATGCATTTAATTCCATTTTGGCCTGATTTATGATGTGATGTGAACTGCATGTGAAGTTTTTAATTCAGTAGGTGGTGACTCTGATTCAGTATATGGAGTGTGACGGAAGAGGTGATAAATTTGATTCCAAAGGTGATGCATCAATTTCAGTGTGAAGTGCATCAAATTCATCACATGGCACATTGGTTTCAGTACGTGACAATCCAGCGACGGCAGTGCCAGGCTGGTTAAGTGGAATACCTTCACTGTATCGCCAGTGGTCCCCACATCCACCACCTCCTCAGAGGAAAATGGTCCTTGCTGTTGGTCTTTTATTCAGCCTTGCAGGACTTGAAGAAAAACAGTAAAATGGTCCATCAGGTGCTGGTCAGAATATTTGTCTTTAATTTAATAGATGAACCTGGTAAGGGCTTCTGATTTGCTACCTAATTTCAGGTCCCAGGGAAAGACTGCTGCTCCTGGGAAGATCAGCGCCAGCCAGCAAATTTGCACCATTTTGGGTTCATTTCATTACTCAATAGCTTTGCTTTTAACTCAATGTCTGGCTGATCCACATTGCTGAAAGAGGATGTGGAGTCTGAGTCCTCTCCGGGAGAGAGAGACTTTAACACTGAGCTCTCTCACATCTGTAACCTTTGAAGGACATTCAAATAAAACCACCCGCAGAAGTCACCTCCTCTTCTCCCTCACTCCACGCCGGGGATGCTTTTGGGATAAGACTTCCGGGATGAAATAAACCCACGTCTTGATTAGGGGATCCTAATGGCATCCAAGCAGCAGCCATTTGGGCTGATGGGACCTGGTGCACCCAAGCAGGACAGGCTGGGGCACGCTGGGCGCTGAGGGGACTCCCAGTGCCTGCGGCACCAACCCCTTCCCCGTCCTCACGCCCCGTTAACACCAGCGCCGCTGAATCCAGACCCGGCACGGTGCAGCGTGGTGAGTCGCTAGCACAGCTGAGAAAGACGTGTTGAGGGGGCTGATGAAGGGATTTGGTGACAAGCTGAGCGGGAAGTAATTACTTTTCTCCTTCTCTCCTGCTCTCACTGCCACAGCCTCTGTCGCGGTGAGGATAAATGCAGTATATTAGCAGCAGTGAGTGGCAGATTCACTGAGCTGCAATTTATAACATTGTCCTCCCCAAAGCCTCATTGGAGGGCATTATGAAGTTAGCTTTGTAAGATGGGATAAAATGATGAGAGGGTCACTCTGGAAAAGCATTTGGAAACCCTCAGAAAGGGAGCTATTTTCTTCTCTCCAAGCCAGGTAAGTCTCATTGAGCTGACCCCAGCAAAGCTCTGAGGGAGGGTTAGTGCTCATACACCAGATATTAAATTTAATCCACTGAGAAGGAGCAAATGTTGATGTGCCAGCCCTGTCTTCCACCGCATATAATGCATAAGGATGGCTGAAAAATCTTCCATCAAAATGTTTTGATTTTTCTTGAAGAAAAAAATAGAAAAATTCCACTGGGAAAAAAAAAAATAAAAATGAAACCCCAAGGCAGAAAACGTATGGCTGAGAAAACTTTGTCTTCAGACTGTTGATAAAGGGTTGCTGCTGTCAAAGGGGATAAAGAGAAAGATGTTTTTCATCAGCCATGTTAATCTGATCTATCCCTGCATGCAGGCTTGTGTGGGCAGATAAAATAAAACAGATCCTGATATGCTGAGGAGCCAAACTCTATTGCTGTTTCCAACAAGGGACTTTGAGCTGTCTGGATGGAGAGGCAGGGGAGAGCTTTGCTTATAATAATATACCCCTGGGTGAAGGGTGTCAAGCCCCGGGGACAGGCACCAGGGTAATGTGCCTCTGGTCTGCCTGGAGAGAGCTGCCTGCAGGCTTGGTCCATGCTCTGGGCTCCCCAAACCTCTACAGCAAACAGGTCACGCTGCTCCTGCCGCCAACAGCCTGGGTCCCTCAGGGAGGGGAAGCTTTCACCCCGCACCTCCGCTCTTTGTAAGGGTTAAAAAACCATACTAGCCATACATTAAGTGGTTTTGAAAGTGCAGGGGAGAGGAAATGCTAAAGAACTCCATTTCAAAAGCAAAAACGCTCACGAATCTGAACTTCCACTTCAGCCCCGCCTTGAGAACAACTTTTTTAATGACCAGGGTAGGAACTGCTGGGTCTGGGGCGTCGCTGTGCTGACTCCTCCATCTCCCAAGCACCCCGGTGAGGAGGTGTGTGCCCGTCTCGGGGGCGCTCCCACCGCTGTCCCCCCGCAGCGAATCTCAGAGGAGGGAGGCC